TTATAGGTTCCTATGCACAGAGCGGTACATGGATTTGTTTGTTGGCCAGTCCGCATTTAGTCTGCGTCATTTTATAGGTCAGGAGAACCAACAAAGGGTTGCTAGCTTTGTTAGAGAGGCGTTTAGGACTCGAGACTACATTCAGACCTTGTCTCATGAGCCACTATGGCTCCTACGGGACTTTAGAATAAATTGATTGATTGATTGATTGACACCTTCGGTTCTCGGCGAATTCACCAAAAGTTCACCCTCTCTGTGTGTATAGACCCTAAGATGATGCTTGGTCGTCAGCCCGAGCCGCCCCGTCTTCCGGATCGATCGACGGTCAGCATTGCTAGTAGGCACGTAATCGACCGTCAAGGGCTCTGATCCAATTTACGCGCGCGGCTTCCATTTTGACGTCAGACGGCTTAGCACTGCTCAGGATTTACCTATATAGTATAGGTACATTATATATCATGACTACAGTAGTTCAAGACCCGAGCTGAGCCCTCCAGGCGAAGCTGTTGGATTGGAGTCTAGGCCCGGAAGTCGAACTGTAGAGACTCAAGAAATGCTCCACCTGCTAGCTTGCACAGACTTCGAAGAGCACAATCGAATCTCGCGCTCAGGTGACGGGTCGCTACCTAGTGACATCACGCACCAACAGAAATCAGATCCTGCCGCGGCTCTTAATTGCCGCCCCCACTCCGGCTCATTGATCAAATATTCAGTTGAAGCCCACCGTACCTGAAGCATAAAGCGAACAAGTCATTTAGGCGTCACTTGCAATCATTGCAATTTGCAGCTCTTACCAAATTCATCCATTGTGACTGACATCGGGCTGGTTAGTTTTGCTTTCCGGCAATCGGCTGAGGGCAATAATTCAAGGAAAAACGATTATGATGACGATGTCGAGTATCATTTATGTAGGGCGCTGTCCTTGCCTCGATTGGTCAACCCACGGGACAGCAAGATTTAGCTGGAAGATACAAGATCGCTTGAGCTTTTATTCTCTGCCGGCGATACCTAGTAAGGTGTACCTAAGGTACAACAGAAATTTCAAGATGCGCAATACAACAATATCTGTCGGAGTACTAGTGTTGAAGCAATTAGGGCCAGCTGATTAACCACAGGGAAAAATCACTATATATGTAAGCTGGAGGGCAGCAGTGGTGCATCGCCCTTCTTTTGAGATCTTTGATGCTTAGCAAGACTGGTTAGATGCCCGTTAACAAACAGCTTGGTTATGGGCAAAAACTGATTGTGATAGTAAACGAGGATGGAAGCTGCGTCAAGCTAGCGATGGCATCTCCAACGCCATACAGCGAGCCCTTGAAACCAGCTTCCTATTTGCACTTACCAAGCATCAAGCAACTTGTCAGCAAAGGGAAGGTGGTTCCGCTTGAACCCGAAAATCTGAATATCAATGCGTTGCAGCCAAATAGTGACGGTCTCAAAGACATCAGCTCTGTTGAGAAAGGCACCCATTCTGATGTTCCTCCCACAACGGAAGAGGCAAAGGTTCCAGTGCACGTCTCCACAAGCAAGGAGGAACATGCAGATGCAACGCCCGCGAAGCAGCCAGAATCAGTGCCCGAGAAAGAGGCCCTCATTTCGAAAGCTGCACAGTTGCACGAGGGAGTATTGCAGCAAACGTCTGAAAGTGGCGCAGAAGAACGTTCTCATGATGCGGGGGTTGACGAGCTGCTAGCGAGTGGCAGCAATAGTGGCGGACGAAAGGTGGTTGTTGCGGAGAAGGTGGGCGGTCCTGCGGAGGCCTCGGAGGACTCGAAACAGATAGTCTCAGTTCCAAGGATCTCGCCTGAGGAATGGCTGCACCTGTTTCAGACCACTGGCCTGTGCCAGGTAAGCTGCGACCAAGCGCTCAGGCTGTTCACCTAAAGTATCTCTACTCGGAAGCTGAAGTAGTAGAGGCTTCGTCTCATGACTTTTCCAAAGAACACGTTCACTTCGCCTTGGCCGCAGCATGCGATCTGCTTCCAGCATTTCAAAGATCTGAAATTGGCGGACAAATGGTACTAGCCTTGAAAAGCTGAACTTCGAGTTCTGTCACGTTGAACCCATCCTACTCGTTGCGCCGCGGACGTCGATGTGCCCGGGTGAATTTGATTCCGGTAGTTTTCGATAGCTCTTCGGTACGACGCTTATCAGACTTATTCTCATATCCGACGCATATCAAGCGACTTAAGTCTCCTCAAGAGAAGACAAGCGTCCTTGCAAGGACCACCGTCTCAGTCGACTTTCTCCTGAAACGCTCAGCTCTTGTTGCACCGGGGTGCTGATGCTAAAGACGAAACGCGACCCGCAGGCGTACGACCTCGAATCGGACCGCCCGACACCGGCGGGGACGCCCCTCTTCGTGGTGCAAAGGAGCCTTCCCGATTCACAGCGGCGCAATCCCTTTGCCTCCTCAAATCGACCAGCGACAAGGGGCGGTGATGTCAGTCGAGGCGCCGGCAGTCCGGATCATATTTCTGGGCACCACATGCTTCCGGACAAGCCGGCGTTCATTGTGGACGATCAGACACGGACGGTGGTTGAGGAGACTTACACGGAGCGTCACAAGTGAGTACTTCCCTCCCAAGTCAGTTGTTGATGGCGGCACATGCGAACCGGGCGAGAAGAGTAGCAGCATCACTCACGTGGCAATTGAATTGAATAAAGGACTCAATATCTTGCTCACACTTCTCGAACTCATCTGCTTGCCAACCTGGACACTGCGAACGGGTTCCAATAGAGTGCCGTTCTCATTTGTACTCGAGTTGGTCGACTTGTGACGAGCGAGGTGCGACATGCGCCGCTCAATCGAAACGATTTTAAATGACCATTGTAGGTACCTTGTGGAGATGGGTTTCTCGGCCGCAGACATTTCCGGCAGCGTACCTTACGTCAATGCTTCCATCAAGGCTGAGAAGAAGGAGAGACAGGCAGCCGAGCAAGTGAGACGCTAGCTCATCTTGCTTGGATGCATAGGATGGGGAGATTGGCGCCTTCGTAGAGCCCTTCGACGTCTTTTGAAGTTCTGTTTTTGACGACTCCTCAGAAGTGAAATTTGGGCTCATCTTCAGTTGGTTTAACTTCTTCATTTCTTGTGTTACGCTTTTAAGTGGGAAAAGTGGTCCCTGCTTGCATAAAGGGTTGCAATTATGAACGTGAGACGCTTCGAATGTTTTGGAGCTTTACCTGGAATTGATTCGGAGATGCAAAAAAAAGTCCTGCCAAACCTGACTTGAAAAGAAGGTTGAGAGACAGGCAGAGCACCTTTGAACGTTGTCCAAGAGTCAATTGTCTCCTCTTTGCAAACCAGGCCGTGAAGCGCGTATTTGTGACGACCAGGGAGGAATTTCCGCGGTGCCGGATAGACATTGGGGCGAGCCTGCACAGCGAGTACCTCGTCATCAACAAGAGCTTTATCGACGAGGTTCAGCAGGTAACTGTCGCCTCAAAGCCGGTCAGCTTATCGTAACGCCGAAGCCCTACTTTGTACGGAATTACAAACAGGAGGTTGCTTCGAAGGGGTGCAGAAGGGAATCTGTCTCCAGTTTGCAAACGAAAGCGCACAAAGGCTTGCTTTTGAAGCACCCAAGAAGACGGACCAAATATTCTGGCGGAACTTCAGCAGTTCTCTCAGATTCAACCGGGATGATCCTGCTTGCGGTTTGGATAAGGCGCTCTGGCGGTTGTAAAGTAGTGTGTCATTATGAGGTTCCAGAAGCAACTGACTTTTGGTACTTTATGGTCTGCATTATAAGTCAAAGTGGCAATCCTGCACGATGACAAGGCAGGTCTAAACGAGAAGTTCCATGAGCTGGAGGTCTGGACAGGCAAGAAATACGTGAAGCCTCACCTTTAATTCTGGGATTTGCTGAATTGTGGAACCAACGCTCCGTTCTTACATTTTCTCTTCAAGGCAATCCGTCTTTGCTGAATCAGGTTACGTGCAAGGACATCAATCAGTACGAGAGGCGGAGACAGAAGGTACTCCGGTTGAGGCAGGCCATCTTTGACCTGTGGGACGAAAAGCCGTTGAGCAAACTCCGGCGGAAGTACAGCGACCTTGTATCACTTTATAGCTTGAACGCGGGGGGCACAATCGCAACTGACGAAGAATCAAGAACAGCCAATATAAACATAGAAGAAGCCAAGAGGCTCAAGGAGTTGTTGTTGCAAAGTCGAAGGGAGTCGGTGGAAGAAGAGCTGACTTTGAATCGACCAGAGGTGAAAGTGGACGAGGCAGAGCAAGAGGAACTGCAACGGCTTTGGGATGCTCTTAGTATGGAAGAGAAACTTGGAAGGATTAGAAAGGATCAACAGAAGCGTGAGCAGAGAGAGCTGGCGCTAGTTGAGAAGAAGAGACGGCTGTCCGCAGAGATGAGTGTAGAAGACAAGCTAACGAGGGCAAGAGAAGAGAAAAAGATGAAGGAAGCAAGAGCTCAGGAGCAGCGTAGGATAGAGGAGAAACTAAGGCACGCTGAAGAAGAGAGGAAGCATCAGTGGGAAGGCTTGTCTCTCCAGGAGAAGCTAGCAAAGGGGAAAGACGGTGGCGAGAAAGCGGTGGCTCAGAATAATCGAACGGATTCTGAGGATGAGGAAGGCTTGCCAGCGCTGAAAGCATTTGCAAAAGTCATTGAGACAGCATTGAAGAGGGAGACCGCAACCCTGGGCCCGGAAAGAGAGAGGATCGTGACGAGCATGCAGGATATCATCAAGCGGTATGGGGCGGTCTGGATCGAAAGCGTAAGCATCTTCATGAGTCGTTTTACCATGTTCAAGAGGGAGTAACGCGTCTCAAAATTTTCTGCACGTGAGCGCAAAGGGACTGAGGTGCTGCTGTCCTGACCTTGTCATGCAACGTCGGTTGCTGTGAAATTGCGGCGGGAAATGTAGCATCAACATCCTAAGCAGCGCGTGATCTGAAAAACAACTCCAAGATGGTCCTTTGTTTGTCTGCAGATATGATAGGTTATTTTAGACAATCTTCTTGCTCGCCAGTCTTTCCAGATTGGACTGAGTCAACTTACAAATGGTTGACGTCTTAAAAGCAGACCTGACTGCAATCCTGAGCGTTGGTGACAGCATCGTCTTGATGCATTCCTCTCAGAGGTGTATGTCCTCAAACTGACTGCAATCTGCTTCCAGCTTTGTTGAGGAAAACGATGCTTGCAAAAGCTGACTTGAAGAAGTCTCGGGTTGCAGATCACCTTGGGGGCTCAGCACATGAGTACAAGCGAGAGGAAGGAAACCTGGGACTCACGGGAAAAGGAGACGGCGACGAAAGTGACGGCAGGGCTGGCTGCGGCGCATGCTGGTGCCAAGGTCGGGGCACAAGCAACGCAGGAGAGTTCGAAGAAGGTAAGCCGAAAGTTTTTGCCCTTATTCATGCATCTGATCACCAGACGCAACCGTATACTTCGTTCTTTTACAGGTAAGGAGTTCGCTTCTGTTTAACTCTACATCAGCTTTCAGCCGTGTTTTGTGAATGTGTGCAAAACCCCTAAACCTCTCGCCGCTCGCGCGCGGATCGGCTCACTGAGTGCGCGCCCCCGGCGAAGCGGCCGCGGCTCGTCAATCAGGCGGCTCTCAGCTCTCAAGGATGGAATGTGCACGGTGTGCAAAGTTCAGCGTGACTCCATTTGGCACGCTCTATTTTCCAGGAGTCTTCAGAAGACAAGGAGATGAGCAACACGCACTCCTCAAACGCCACAGGGGGCGACACGATCGCGTTTCATGAGAACGCGGACGGCAAGAAGCATGGCTGGCTGGAGTCGATTCGGACTGCCGCTAACTGGCGGATCATCAGTTACCGGAGCCTCCGGTTACTGAGTGAACTGCCGGGACTGGACTTTCCAACTGAGGAGACGGGGTATGACGGGGAGACGGTCGTGACATTCAGGAGGCTCTTGAAGGAAAGGCTGCAGGTTAGGATGCCCTTATCCGTGGGTTTGCAAGCGGTTTGGCGCCCGAAGGAATTCAAATGGCAAGCTTTAGATGGTTTCAGCTTCTCTGTGTGTTTCAGAACGCCCTTGTGAACTGTTGTAAAGGTCTAAAAATTTTGAGGTGTAGAGGAGGCAAGCGAAAAAGAGCCACAAGAACGAGACAAATGTTGACTGTTTCAACTGCGGTGCTGGCTGTACGGTCAGAGGCGGCCGATATCGATGGTTCTCCATAAGAGCAGAACCACTTGTGCCAACAGAGACGAGCATGGAAAGGAAATGACATGTTTTGGAATGTGTTGCTTCCAGGCGGTAGCCAACGACGTACGAGACAGTGAAGCAAAGAAGGTGAGCCTCGCTTTCGGCCTATTTATGTTAACGATTATATATGCAGGTATGCTTTTACCTCCCGTCTCTCGAAGTGACTTCAAACACCTGAGTCGCTTTAATATGATAGATTCTGTATTACAGAGTCTTTCAGGCAATCAAGCGGTCTTGCCTACCTGGAACAAGAGAAGACATCAAGAGTCACAAAGCAAAGACGTTGCCTTACATGGCTTAAAATCGCTTGACCGATTGCTGGGCTTGTCTTGCGGGAAGGCGTTCCGAATAAGCTCTTTCAGTTCACAGGTGACCAGATGAGCCTGGCAATCCAAACCCCAATGTCAAAAAGAGAAGCATACATGGTACTTAAACGTCTAGAATCCAACGAGATGAGATGCAGATTTTTCTCGGAAGTTCCATAGGAGATGCTTCAGCAGAGGAATCACCGAGAGCGTTCAAGCCTAAGCCGCTCAAACAACGCATCAGAGCAAAGCTGTTTTGATTTTCCAGGACCCCCCTCGGCGGTCGCTCCACAGCGTGCTGAAGCTAGGCATCGTCGGCTACTGGTACGGCTTCGACTGCAGCGACCAAGGAGGGGGGTCCAGCTCAGGACCGAGTATTCTGCAGGTAATCTGGTAACTTTGGATTGCATTGTTGCCGGGTTGCACTAAGATAAGCACCCGGAAGACCGATGGGATTAGTTGAGGGGTAAAAGTGAATGCTAGTGCGGAGCGCGTCATAATCTGGGTTAGGAACTTCACAAAATGTTCTTGAGATTTCCGTATTTCAATGCAATCTGGGTTGATGCAGTTTCGGCCCCTGAAAGCGAGGATCACCCGGCCTTTCGACAACGTCTTCGATCTAGCGCAATATGGCCGGAAACCAGATGATTCTTGGAACCCAGAACTTCTGCACATAACGCAGTCCAAACTGGCCCTGCAACATTTTCAACGGTCCCGAGAACCTGAACTTGCCAGTATGCTGCAGGTCAAGATCAACAAGCGGCTCGACTTCACCGTCTCCTTCAAGGGAAAAGGGGTCGCCAAAGGGTTTCGCTTCCACGGCATGGGAGAGGACAAAGTGGACGGGGACTTCTGCGGGAACGGGGCGTTTTTCCTGGAGGGCTACGTCATCGAGGTAAGCCGTGACGCCCTGGGTTCGAGTACAACGCGCCGCCGTCTCGAATGTCCACGCGCGCGTCTTTGCGCACGCCGGGCCATGAGTGTGGGTGGATTGCGTAAATGCGTTGGTGCGAGCTGGCTTGGGGACCTTTGAGTCTGTCTGCTCTTGGATTGTCTTCAAAGTTTCAAGTCCGACGTTCCGTCATTGGAATAGACGAACGGACGCGTATTGCTGCTGCACAGATTCGGTTGAACCTGGCCGCCTGAGACCCTTCAATAACGAGTGATATTCCACCCGTCAAGCGGCCCCGAGTCATCCGATTTATTTCAGGATGCTCGAATTGGGGATGAGTCCGGCCGCGGCGGCCAGGTCTTTCCAAACCTGCAGTCTTTCAGTAGCGCAACAGCTCCTCATGCAAAGGAATCAGTTTGCTTGCTTGTAGATTCACCCGGTATTGAACAAACGGAGGCGGTATGCGAGAGTATTACACCCCTCGCACGACCAGAGCCGTTACAGGTTAGCGCTGCCTTTTTGCAGGTAGACGGTGCCCAGCTGTCAAAGAGTCCGTACCGGCCGCTCGGCCTGGTAAAGATGGTCAAGCGTGACATCACAACCGGGGTGGCTTTCAACTACTTCGGCCACGTGGACTGGACCGGGATGCACGGGGTCTGGAGGGCTTGCGAGCGGAAGGCTGGAACGGAAGGGGAGCCGCAGAGCGGATCCTGGAGCCTCGCGCCGGTGAAGTTTCTTCCCTGGGACACTGTAGATGGTGAGCTTCTCACTTTTGTCAGAACGGCGTTCAGTCTCAGCGTAACTGCCCTGCCGCTTGCTGAGGTAGATCAGGTTTTGAGAACCTCAATTTTCATCCCTCCGGCAGTACGAGATTAGTCTACTCGGACCAGAATGAGCAGAAGTGCTCTCCCGGTCCCGTTGCATTCTAATCAACGGGACAAAACGGGGATTGATCGCAGGAACTCTTCAGAAACTCGAGCTTCTCCTTTGGCTTTCGGTGAATCAGTTCAACTATGGCTTTCGCACCGTTCTTTTGACTTTCTAACTCCTTCGCAACAAATTCGCCCAAAATTCCACTTTCTTCCTACTCGAGGCCAAGTTTCATTGAAATCCGTGACGAAGCCTCTGACAACATGCTCGTTCCGTTCAGTGAATAGAGATCTGACGCTTACCGTCGAACGCGATCATCTTCGAAATTGCGAACGAATGTTACGCGATGCAGGAACTTGAATTCTGCGCTTCGGAATCTATTTAACCCCACAAGAGCAAAGAGCAAGACAGTTAAAATAACAAACCAAAGACAAAACATCTCTCTTTTGTACAGAACCCTGGACGTTCCGCGAGCGCGAGGCGCACATCAACGAGCCCCGCCGCCGGTGGCTGCTTCCCTCCGACGAGACTCTAGCCAAGCTTGAGAAAACCAGCGCCTCGGTGCACTCCTCGAAGCGCCTCGACCCGACGCTTGCGGAGGGTTTGTGGCAGGTAAGTCTCGGTTTTCGCGTTCGGTTAGAGCTCGACCCACAAACCTGGCTCCCCTTATAACGTGATCCTGGAATCAACTACTATAAGTGAGCAAGATGTGGACCAATTTATGGCTGAAAGGGTGCCAGGATTTGATTGAAGTCTCATAGGTTGGTCAAAGGGGTCGGCTGAGGCGTTGGCGTAAAGAAGCTCCAAGACTTCGTTATTAAGGACTAGACTGAGAATGATTACTTCCCCGGCTTAAAAGAACAAAGACTCTGAACCCAAAATTAGCAAGCTCAGTGCACACAAACCTACCGTTAAACCCCAAACCAACCTCACCCGTTACCAAAATAGTGATCTCACTCTACCTGACCGTACCTCAACGGAAGTTTGATACTTCTTGTGACAGGGCTACTATCTGCGCGCGCACCCAACGGACGTGGACCTCCAGCACTTTCTGTTCAAGGTCGGGAAGTACTCCATATCCGACGTCTTCAAGCGCCTGGGGAAGGATGGGCCGTCCCCGAAAGAGGGGGGTCCGGGGCCGTACCAGGCGCACCCCCTGGAATGGAAGCGGGTGCAAGCGCCGGCATTCTTGGAGCTGGAAATTAAGACGTGCGCGCTAGTGGGGGGCCAATTTGGCTGGCAGCGATTTGAGGTGGGGGGGTGGGCGCGGGAAGGGGAGAAGCGGTATACGGTGCAAGGCTTCATCCAACAGGTTAGTAGGGGGAGATCACTGGGGTGACCGGCCTGCGTCTTGACACGTGGATCTGCTAAGCAGTGAATCATTTCCGCACAAGTCAGGAAGATTTTGATTCCGAAGGTTGGCCAGAAAAACGGGGGTTGAAAAGTTTGCCGAAATGAATCTATCTACGCTGGTCGTGAGCCTGAAGGAAATTCAGTGCGAGGCACAGTCTCTAGTGGCTACTGGTTCCTTCATGTGAACGAACAAAAGACCAGATGTGTCATACGAAAGAAGATCAGAACTTCATCAGGCTAAGGGTGGACTCGAGCCACCATTTCAAGATTTGCAGAAACTCGAGCCCCAACTCTTCGAAGCCGATAAGTGTGTCGGGAGATATGATGACTGGCTGCGGTCAGCGCAATCTCGTGTACTCAGATTTCCATTCCCTGGCACCTCAAGTATGTTTCGTTCCAAACGGCCTTTATCCAGTCAGGCTTTTTGCAGGTTCCAAGCGACCCGACACTCCTAACATCCTTGTATCCAGGCCCTTGACAAGAAGAACCTTCACGCCCCTTTCAACCATCCGTGCTTGCTTGCAGGTGCCGTCCCGACACTCGAAGCGCAACCTTCACGACTACCCGTACTTGGGGAAGGTCGGCTTGACGCTCACCCGGTCGGGCCTACCGGGCACTTCCGTCGTGCGAAAGTACTACGAAGGGCACCTCGACCACCTAGGGATGCACGGGTCCGTCTCAAAAACTCCCCCCGGTAGCGACCGGGGCAAAGTGGAAGCCACGTTTGCGTTGATGCCGGTCAGCCTAGAGGTGAAGGCCAAGAAAAAGCTGGCCTTCTTATGCTTCGGTCGGTGAGAGAGTCTTGTATATAGAAGATGGTTTGACGTGTTGTCCTAGGGTCATTAAGTCCAATGAACTACCCCAAGGGCCCAGATCCGTGTTGACACGTGTCGCCCCTGCCGAGCAGCGAGCAGTGACATCATGAGGTGCCTTGCCAACGGCCATTCGTATGATTGTTATCAAATCGTTGCTCAATCGGCCCATGGAAACATCCTAACCACCCCGCCGGCCATAATGCACCGGCGTGCCTGGGAGCGCGGTAACGTGGCATGCAGACCGTATATGTCAGCACAGCGCTGCGCAACGCTGCTGTGAAAGATGCATGAAAATGCCTGTACATTGCCGCGCTGAACGTTTGATGCAGTTATTCAAAGGTTATACAGAATTATAGTGCACGGGCCACTGATGGCAACGTCCCGGACTTCACAGTATGGCCACTTCACGCAAATCAAGATGCTTGCGACCTTAACGAACCATGTTTTGCCCCCTTGAAAATGCGTGCACGATCTCATTCGCTTACTCAGACGATCCTGACGAGTAGTGGCTGTTTTGCATGCCCTGATCGAGTTTGCCGGAGTCACACTTCAAGGTCCGAGGCTCTAAGGCATAGCGCACCGTGCGTATACGCTCGGTTTACGTAACCCAGATCGACCATTGGGCTGGCAGCCATGCGGATCCCGCACGCGCGGGTACATAAGATCTTCGATGAAGTGGTAATGCTCCGCTTCTTCAAGTATTATTGATGAGACAAAGGTGCCCATGCGTCGAAAGAGAACGCGTCGATTTCAAGTCAACTATTTAACATACAAGTGAAGAGAGCCGCACAAGCCCCCGCCCTTATTCTCCCTTGAGAGCCACCTCGATGATCTTATCCAACTTGGCAACCTGCTCCTGCGTAACCTCCTTGCTGGCGTGGGGCTTGATCGACTTGCGCAAGTTGGGCGACAACTTGAGGCACGTGACGCATCCACGGTCGTCACCCACCAACAGGATCGGGTGCTGCGGAAGTACGAGGAAGCGTAAGCAAGTGGTTCATGATGCTTTGAAGGTGATCAAATGAGCGGTACTGATCGTGCTTATTTAAGATTGCGAAGTCGTGTTTAAACATGCTTTCAAGGTGGTCATATGTGCGTCCAAGGTCTAGAAAGAAAGAGACACGTCAGCTCGTGACGCTCTGGGGCCTGCCAGAAGTGGAGAAAGAGTAATCAGACTAGCATTTTCATTTTGTCCGAACGTCGAGGAGCGCCGGAAGCAATAAATGCTCAGCGGAAGCCAAACTGGATCAATATGAGGGGGCTTTGTCCCGGAGCTCACCTTGGGATTGAACGACACCCGCGTCAGCTTGGCTTTCCGCACGATCTTCTGCTCGCACATGGGCTCGTGCTTGTTCTCGTTCAGGTCGAAGACGTGGACCTGGGCGAGCGGGGAAGACATGACGTCAGCACGAGCAGCAAGGGCCGACAGGCCGGTGCCAGAATGAGCACGCCAGGACTTTGAGACAGTACCGGGGTCTTTGCCGAGGAAAAGAGCAATGGTCTGTAGCCCAGGCTGAATGAAAGCCATTCCGAGTCGAAAAGCTGGCTACTAGATTCTACGTGGGGGATTGTGGCAGCCAATTCAAGGACGGCCTACCTTAACCGGGGTTAACGCTATTGTAAGCGGCAGTCTAAATGTCGGTTTGTTTGACGGAACCCGAAACGTCCTCACCTTTCCGTCGCTGGTGACCGCCGCAAAGGTCGTTGCAGAAAACGGCGCCCATGTGACGTCACTGACGCCGTTGTTCAGGTCGAACGACATGACCGGTTTCGGGTTAGTGTGCTCCCACAGCTTAACCGTCCAGTCAGCGCTCGCGGACAGGAACACCTTGGGGTGCCACGGGTTCCACTGGACGGTATATACCGCCATAGAGTGGCCCTGCACAGGAGAAGGTGGTCATGATTCAAGTTTGGGTGAACTTTTTAGAATCAAGAATGGACATCCGAGCTCCGGTATTGACCCAACTGCTCGGTGCAAATTGTTAATCGGCGGCCTGCGCCGACTGGACGCTACACATGACATTACCAAACGCCACGCTTTTAATCCAGACAGACTCCCACGGAAAAAGTCAAGAAGACAAACAGTTTATTCCGGGTTTATTCCAGATTTATTCCAGATTCCAGAAATCAAGAAAACAACTCGTTTATCACAGTACCGCACATCATATGCCCTACAATGAGACGAAAGCCACATTTCCAGTCATGCAACACACACACAGCACCAAGAAAACGGACGACGACGAGAAGAGAGCAAAATTTCACCTTGATTTTGCGTGAAGGGCTTTGAAGCACCTGTGCCTAACAAAGAATCCAGGCTCAGAGCATACATCATCAAGGAAGAGGTCATTTACTAAAGACTACACATTTTTCACGAACCTTGTACGTTTCCAGATACTGCGAGTGGTAAGCCTTGGAGCACTTGTGTATCCTGCCCTCCTCCGTGCCCACAATAAAAAGGTGCTCGCTGTGCTGGTTGAAATCCAGACTGCATCCGCCGGCCAAACTGCCCAGCGCCGTCTCGTCCTCTTCCAGGTCCGTGTCCGACACGTTGCCGCTCAGCTTGAGCTCCATCACGTCCTGCAGGGAAATGGGAAAGACGCTTGTCAGAATTTCCTTTTTGGGGTGGAAACTGAACTTCGTCTCATAGAAAAGTGTACACAGTCGACTCTCGTCTGAGCCAGGAACAGTGCGCGAAGTCAAGCATCGTCCTAAAGAGTCACCAGGCTTGGTCGCGAGAGAACAAAACTTAGGTGAAACTGAGGTCAGCGCATATCCGGTTCCAGGAGAGTCGTCTTACGTGGAACTGCAGCTCGGACTTGCTCATTGTCCAGAGCGTGACGCGGCCGTCGCTGGAGACGCTGAAGAAGTTGAGCGACTTGCTTAGGTCCTCCTCCTGCCACCGCACCTAGAGGAAAACACGCGCGCGCCACGTCAGCTCGAACATCTAAAAGGCGCTAGTTTGGGACGGCGAACTTGAAAAACTGCCTGCCGCACAAGAATCTAATCGAAAGCGAAAAAGCGAATAAGCTAGTGTAGGACGTGTCCTTGAAATCACGACGAGAAGCTGCAAAGCCAACAGACATATGGATGGCTTTCTTAGGTCCTCAGAGGAGCACTAGATGCTCGTTGGCGTAAGAATGCTCCCTTATATAGTTCCCATCTGGTTTCCGATATTCAAAAGTTGTTTTTGCTGAAACTTTTGAGGGTCGATCGCGCATAAGCTCTGCAACGTCAGGGCACAATCGGTCAACCCGACGACGCTCCCCAATTCGAACCGGGTCCAATCAGAAACGTTATACCACTCAGGCACCCTTACCAACTCACTTTTTCAATTCTAAACAGACCTGATACCGACCCGTCCAACGACCACATTGCAGCCAAAATAGACGACCCCACAGAAGGTTTTTATTTCGAACCGCCCACCTGCCACACCGGGTCCGTGTGCTTGCCCGTCTTGACCGTCGATGCGAAGATCGGACGGTTGATCTTGTTCCGGACGTCGTACACCAGGACCGTTCCGTCGTAGAGACCCACGGCAAGCAGGCTGCTGTGCTGCGGGTGGAAGTCTAGGCACATGACGCCGGATTCCGTTGTGAACGTGTATTCCGGGTGCGACGGGTTTTTGAGGCTGTAGCAGCAGATGAGCCCGCTCGTCTGCCGCACGAAGTCGAAGCTGCCGTACCTGGGGGGTAGCAGCAGAAGGATTCGACGCCGAAAGGTCAGCGGGCTGCGAGGTTGCGCTCGTTTTGGAAGAGGCCGGATGTTTGAGTTTCAGGCCGAAATGATCGGGACTCCAAGCCATGACGGTCATGTCTTTGGTCTTGCCGCAATGTGACGGAATGCCTTATGAGCTAGAGAAGGTGAAAACCCTACAAACGCCTCAGCTTCTGAAAATCAAAAGGGTTGTAGAGAACCAAAAATGGGTACGTCCGGTACAAGTGCTCACTCGACCGCGAAGAGATCAAATGTATCGTGTTTCCACGCGACAGCCCTCAGTACTTGCATTTCGCGCTTTTCAAGTGCCGAAAAGCTAAAACGCTACAGCTCTTTGCGAGCAGCCTGCCGATCTAAGTTAGCGAGGGAGCCTTTAAAGGTAAGATGACTAAATTAGTCGAGTCTGCGACACTGTAGTGATAACTAAGTTGACTAACTTTGTGAGCCTCGTCCTCTTTTTAGGATCGGCAGGTTGCTAAAATGAGCTGTATAATATAATCACAGAGCGTTTTCACTTCTGAGAGCCTTATAGAGCTCACCGGACTGCGGTCGACGAACTCGGAGTTCCTGGCAATGGCGGTCACGTGCTTGCGCTTCAAGGATTGCCCTGTAATGGTGACAACCCCAAGAGGCTGAAAGTCTTCGAGGCTAATCCCTCTCTTTCTAGAAATCTCGGTCGCTCACCCGACCGCGAAGAGGTCGACGAACTCGGGGTTCCAGGCGATGGCGGTCACGTGCTTGCGCTTGGCGCGCTCCGTGTAGAACTTCCAGAGCGGGAGGCACGTGCCCTCGCCGTCCCGGAACGCGTCGCTCGCGTCCTCCCAGTACTTGAAGTCCTGCGCGATGTCGTCGAACGAGTTCTGGTTCACCATGCGCTCCACCACCTGAGAAGGAAAAGTGGTAAGTCAAGTTATTGAAATTTAGGCGTTTGGGGCTCAGACATATAGAGCCCTTCTCGAAGGGTTCGGTTCTTGATCTGTGCGAAAGTCTGCGCGGTGTCGTCGAACGAGTTCTGGTTCACCATGCGCTCCACCACCTGAGACAACGAGGACAGGAGTTTGCTCTCAGGGTTTTGGAACCCTTTTCATCGTGTCTAAAACGCCAAGGACACGATGATTTTGGAGCATACAGGCCGCGGAGAGAAAGCGTTCGGCATCAAGATCTTCGCTTCTCGTTTGAAATCCTAAACAATGTTGCCGAATTCTGGTTCACCATGCGCTCCGCCACCTAAGAAAGCAGGAGGAGGTGTTGAATTGCATGGTTCTGGAAGTGTGGGTGTTTTGATGTCGATGATTTAAAGTGAAAAGACTGCTTTAAGCAGTATTGCTTTCTATAATCCTTTCAATTCCTGTTTAGTGTCGTCGAGAGACTTCTGGTTCACCATGCGCTCCACCACCTGAGAGAGGAGGACAGGAGTTTGCTCTCAGGGTTCTGGAACCCTTTCTATCGTGTCCAAAACGCCAAGGACACGATAACTCTGGAGCATACAAGCCGCGAAGAGAAAGCTTTCGGCATCAAGACCTTGTTTGAAATCCTAAGCAATGTTGCCTGATTCTTTACCATGCGCTCCGCCACCTAAGAGAGCAGGAGCAGATGTTGAAATGCATGGTTCTGGAAGTGTGGGTGTTTCGATGTCGATGATGTGCAGTGTAGAGGCGGCAAAAAAGTGCTTAAAGCAGTTTTATTTTCTCAAATTATTTGAAGTCCTGCGCGATGTCGTCGAACGAGTTCTGGTTCACCATGCGGTCCACCACCTGGGGAACAAAGGCGGTAAGTTTATTTCCAGGCATTTGGGGTTTGAGAATTCTGTAACATATAGAGGCCAGGATATGAGCCCTTTGGAATGTCCAATTGTTGACCCGTTCAGGAATCGGCGCAATGGTATCGAGATCGCCCTGGTCCACCATGGCTCCACTACTCGCGAAAAAATTCGAAGAATTTAGACGTTTGGGACTGAGGGTGTTTTGAGGCCGCGAACCGAACGATCTAAGCGAAATCAGTCGAATGGAGATCCGGGCAGTGTCGTCGAAAGAGTTCTGATTCACCATGCGCTCCGCCATCTGGGCGTAGAAGGCGTTATTGGCTCTCAAGATTTCGTGACGCAGAGTTCTGAAGGGGATTAGGCTTCCTGAAGGATAGACGCCGCAAAAGGTGGGGTTAGCATGGGGGTTAGGGTGGGTAGGGGTAAGCACATGGCGGAACGACTTAGGGTTTGGGTGGTCGTCATCTTTCCTTAGGGTTTTACTTTTGAATCTCATGAATCAAGATTTTCGAGCTTGAGGGTCCTGCGCGGTATCGGTGAACGTATACTGGCTCACCAGGCTGTCCACCACCTGGGAGATCAAAATGCGGGTTTCATACCGACTTTAATGGAGTATCAGGCTCAAGCTAGAAAGGCCAGACGCTCGTCCGTCGCGAAAAGACTCTGGCGAAACGTTGACTTTCGGCATGTTAGACTAGAGATGACAACAGTACCTAACGCTTCCTAACCAGCTTTTGCTGTTGCTTATCACGCACTTCGTGAGATACAAAGAGGAAAACGAGACGCGGCGTTGAAAGAGGTTAGGATTTGCTCTTATCACCAGGACAGGAGGTCCGCACAAGTGCAGGCTCTTTTGTCAGTCTTAGGGTTTACCTTGACCGCCTTCGACATGGCTTTGTTGTGCACGACGCTCTCGGTCTCCTCCTTTCTGGGCGGCCCGCTGCCGCTCGTCCCCGCGTTGCCGTCGCCGGACATGCTCTTCCGGGGCCCATCGGTGAAAGAAGCGCCCGTACCCTTATTCTGCGGGAAGGGTGGGAGGGTTGATGGGTTGTCTTGCGTGCAATCGGAAATGGAAGGCAGAAAAACCCTAGTTTGCAGGAAGCAGAACGCGGGGGTCACTGTGACGTTCACAGAGCTCTTCCGGGCCCCATCAGTGAAAGAGGCAGCCGTACCCTTATTCTGCGGGGGCGGAAACCGAGGGTTAACGAAACACTTGCGTGCGGTCGAAATCAGGAGGCAGAAAGACCAATTTTTGGCAGAAAGCAGACTGAAGGGGGTAATGTGAGATACGAAAAAACGAGGTGCCATTCTGGGAAGATGTAGACAAAGCCCTGATACGCAGGATGGTAAACCGCAGCGTTTAGAAGTAGTGGAGCATCACAGAGCATCCGCGAAGGAGGAAGAGAAAGCCCCAGTTAGCAATTAGAAAAAAGGTTGAAACAAGCCTTCAGAACCCCTCAGCCCCATGCCCCATTGCAGCAACTGGTTCTTTATGAGTAAGCAGGAACATCACGGCAAAACATCGCCGTTAGATTACGCTAGAAGCGCTCCCGCCCGATGTTCGTGCAGAACCAGATCACGTCAACAATGATTTGTGTTATACAAGCCTGACCACCACTTTGAAGCCTTGGAACATTACAGGCGGACAATCAATGTGAAGACGGACAAGACCCTGCTTTTCTGAGCTTGCAAGACCTGTGTCGTCCGGTAAGATCGACGTTCAAAAGAAGATCAAGATGAAGTGGAGAAGAAGCAGAAAGACCCCTTTTGACTTCAAGAGTTGGGTCTCCAATGCCTGCAAGCATGCGTCACTTTCTTAGGGAACACACGCATAGGCAACTCCGCCTTCAACAATCCCAAAGAATACATAGTTTGACGGAAGAAGCTATTCGAGACGGAGAAAGAAATGAAGGCAAGGCTCACCTTTCTTAGCTCCTTATTCAACCGCTGCCGCTCCTGGTCCTCCATGTATCCGTCGAAGATGGCCCACTGCAGAGAGGCCACGTGTGAGTTCGACATCCGAAAACGTGCCAGAGACGGTAATGGGATTGAACAACACGTCTACTGAAAGCTAGTGCAGTCAATCCGACTTGCGAGCAGGCTTGATTACCAGCGGAACTTATGCTCGACGGGCCGAAAAGCATGGGGGGAACACGCATTATGCACCCTTCTGCGTGGCCATGCCGCAAAAGTCGTTGTTGTTCGTCGACTTGATCGCTTTTGAACGGGTGTATCAGGATTCAAAGTTCCTAAGACGAGACCCCGTCCAGCACAAAGAACGAGCTTCTCAATTCCTGGAGCATAAATCCACGATACCAATCCTTGTAGCCATGCGACTGAAGTACCAAACTCCTCACCCTGAATCCCAACCCTAAATCCTGGCCCTGAAACCCTGGATTGCCAAACCCTATCAACCGCAGATGCAAGATTCAGGGTTTCACCTGCGTGGCCATTCCGCAAAAGTCGTTGGTGTGCGGCGGCTCCGTCGCGGTCGCGCGGTCGCGCGTGGGGTTGTTGTACGTCTGCGCCGCGCGCTCGCTGAAGTTGAACGAGTTGCGCAGGTCCATGCTGTCGTCCACCAGCTCGTCCTCCCCGCCCGCAGGCTTGCGCGCGCGCGCCTCGAACGCCGCCTGCGGTAGATTGCTGACCTTAGAAAAGATATCTGCTGACGTCAGGACATCTGCATCTTGTGGTTGCAAGATAGATTGCTGTCGTCCACCAGTCGTCCTCCCCGCCCGCCGGCTTGCGCGCGCGCGCATCGAATGCCGCCTGCAAAGACAGTCGGTGACGTCAGCACGGCGACGTCAACAGAGAGTGCTGACGCCAGCGCATAGGCGCACGTTTCAAATTGTAATGGCTGTCCTCAATAAGCTCGTCCTCCTCGCCCGCGGGCTTGCGCGCGCGCGCTGAAACACCACCTGTGATGAAAAGTTACTGACGTCAGAAAAGGTCTGCTGACGTCAGACATCTGACCACTTTGATTGCGCAGACATCGTTGTCGTCCACCAGCTCGCTGTCCGTCCCGCCCGCAAATTTGTGCGCTTGCGCCTCAAAAGCTGCCTGCAAAAACTGCCGTCAGCAAAAGCGTGTTTCTGCCTGTATTGCACAAGAGAATGCTGACGGAAGGACGCAGAACAAATCGTCGTCAACCAACTCGTCCTTCCCAATGCTGCTTGGGGAAAAGGGTGGACAGATGCAGCAGTTCTTTGACATATTGTCGTGTCCTTTGTTCTCAAAGTACTCTTCCCCAATACGCCTGACATGCTTCTCAAAAGCATACACCAATTAGCAAGCGCAAGCCTTCCCTGGCATCTGATCCTATCCTCTTTTCAGTGCACATCATCAGCCCGAACAATCCGAACGCTGACGTCATGCCCTCTTTCCAGCGCACGTCATCACCCCGAGACACCCCCTTCACCAACTCCTCTAGCTTGCCCGTTTCTCATCCATATTTCTAACCACCCAACTGCTGACGTCATGCTCACCCGCGCGTCCGCCTCCTGCCGCTCTAGTTCCATCTGGCGCCCCGCCTCCTCGCTGTCCTTGTTCAGCATCCAGCCGTCCGATGAGAAGTGCACCATCGTCTGGTCGACCATCGGATCGAACTTGAACTGCCGCTCCTTGTACGTGAATCGGGCGATGTTGTGGGGGGCGAACCTGCAGGGATAAGTTCTCCGGGCTTGTTGACTGGGGGGGTGAATGGGATGCGGATGAATAGGTGATCTACCTTCGACATGAATTCCAGGTTCCTGGACAAGCGGACCATCGTCTGGTCGACCATCGGATCGAACTCAAACTGCCGCTCCTTGAACGTGAACCGGGCGATGTTATGGGGGGCGAACCTGCGGGAGCAGTCTCAATAAGAGCTCGGGACATATCAACTGGGACGTGAAGTCAGTGGGGGTGTTAAGAGTGCTTGGGTTCTTTTGATTATCCTGGGATAGTGTTGACACCACTGTTGGTTGACCGTCACTGGCTGAAACGGCATCTTGATGCACGTCTTAATCATTAGATCACTAAGTTGAGAAAATCATAACCCTGATGGGTACTTCTGCAGGCTCTAGAATGCTCGCTTGACTTCTCGGGAGAAGTGGAACTACAAAACGTACTCTGTGCGAGTCCGGAAGCGACTCGTTCGTCGTGTCCAGCTCAATCGAAGCCTCCAGTAGCAACAGCGCACGCCTCCAGCGACATCACTCGCCCCGCAATCAATACATAATTTTTTATAGTCCCGTACAAGTCCGATCATCGCGGAGGGCTGAATTTGCGGTTCTGAAGTGGATGGGGAGGCAGAAAAAATGATCGTTCAGCAGGTCTAAAAAATTGAGCAATGTGCATCTCGCGCCGTAAGCTTACGGGTTGTTTGCGGTGAGCGTTTTGGTAATCTCCTCCTTGAGCTCTTCCGGCGTAAGCTTGAGCTGTTCAGGGGGCACCACCAGCTCCTTCTGGGGCTGCGAATGGAAAAGAACACGTCAAGATTTTCGTAAAGGCAATGGAAGTTACTACTAATTCGAGTGTTCACAATAAGCAGAAGCCCCGGGCACGCAATTTGAAGCTACTAACCTAAAATATCACGCGCTCCGCAATCCCCACCCACCCTAACCACCAAGCCAACCCTACTTGTCCCCGGGGTGCCTATGTTAGTGAACACTTCGTTTAGTGAACACTTCCGTTGCCAAGATAAGTTTTCTTCTCCACACTTCTACAATTTTCAAGTCGGAGGTCATGCAGTACCCTTGCTTGGCTTCCTAGGTCCCAAGAAACGTGAAGCCTATGCTTGGCATGCCAGGTAAAAAGTAGCCTCACAGGAGCGCCCTTTGGAAGAGGTGTTATGGACGGCAGCTACGCTTCTGTAGATAAAAGTGCGCCCTTCTAAGTTCTCTACGCCCCTGTAAGGCCCTCACTACCCGCTGTTTGGGCAAGGCAGAATTCCACCTTTTTCGAAGAAAGTGTTCATAGGAAAGGTGCTGAGCATTTCCACCCCCTTAGAGGCTAACCTTTCTCGACTGACCTACTTCAAAACTAATTGTGAATTTGGTTACGATACTCACCGGCTCCCAGTTGCCATCCGCTCTCTCTGGGGGCGCTCCATTGACGATCTCGACCTGCTTCTTCACTTCTGTCTTCTCCGCCTTCTTTACCTCCACCTCCTCTTCAGGAGCGGGTGCAACTTTGCTTCCTTTTACATTCCGCGACGGTCGCACGCCACTCGCCGGTGAAGGCGCTTTTGTGGGGGCAGGGGAGGGGGCCTTGGCCGGGCTTGGACCCTTGGCCGAGGGGGGCTGCATAAGCAAAAGGGAGTGTGTATGAAACTGAGTGCTCATATTTACCACGTGTGTGACTTCTTGGATACTTGGTCAAGGGGGGGCTGCATAAGCACAGGGGACTATGTATGAAGCTGAGTGCTTGTATCGTCCACGTGTGTAACCCTTGGCCCGAGTGGAGCTGCATTAGCGTAGGGAGATTGGATGAAGCTAAGTGCTTATAATTTCCCCCGCATATCTTCTCTCGGACCAACGGCTGAGGAGGGTTGCATAAGGGCACGGAATTGAGTGCTTATAGCTTCCGCTGTGTGCCTCTTCTTTTGTAGCAAGAATGCTTAGGTGTTTTCGCATGTAAGGCCGATAGTAAAATATGCCATCGCTTTGAAGTACAAGAACAATGATCAAGTTTGCGGCTACAATGAGCAGGTTTGATAGTGCAAAGTGGTTGTGTTGATGACAGTGATTGATGGTAAAACCTAAGAGGACGTGCATTTGCTGACTTGTGAATAGAGGTCATTGTGCTTGCCTGAGGACACTGTCTTGAAAGTAGTAATGTAGACAAGCAGTTGCTGAAACAAGGTGCTAAGAAATAAAGTGCGCACGGAAAGCACGGTTGGAAAATTTCGAAGAAAAGTGCCAATTCTGCATCCACTGAGGTCCTTTTTGAACAACAGTGCACCTCAGCAGGGCAAACCTATGCAGAACATATTGTAAAGAGGCAGGTGAATCTATGTGGATCTGTCAAATGGCTGATGAAATGGCACCCTAGTGCCAGAGACCACCACCCCAGTCAATAAAAATGCCCTTCGCAACATGAAAGAGTCCATCGAAGTTTGTCAGGCAGCAAAGAGAATGGCCTTAGAGACTGGGCCTGGATAAGCAAACAAATCTCTGGAGAATCTGGATATACCTGTCCCACACGTGGTAAAAGGTCATGCCAAAAACATCATTGATCATTATCTGTTGCAGAGCTCCAGACAGCAAACAAAGGCTGGAAAAAGATGGGGGCAGCTTAGGTGTTACGAGCTCGTTAGTCAGTCTCAAATCCGTATGTACATCTTCTGTATCACTTATCATCAAGGAATCCCTTCTTTCTGCAGCAATAGACTGGGGCCCACCGCATTACTTCAGTGAGTCAACTCAGCTGTTGTATGTATGTTGGAGATCCGCCACTTACCTTCGCAGCCTTTGGAGGCATCTTTAGTTTACCGCCAGCGCCTTGGTGCTACATGAGCTGGAGCTCATCCACTGGGTTGCTTCTGATGGTGCGCAGGTACCCGTATGCTTGTGAACATCCTTTGTGCGGTAGATGAGTTGGTGACACTCTCGTCTACTTTTTGGAATTCCAGAAATTGTAGAACATGCAATACTTGAACACTTCCAACTGCTGGTTACAATAAGCTAGATTGTTGGACCTTGTTCTGCCGCCCGTTCAATATTACCTTCTAGTGCAAACAAGACAGGGGCCTTTTCAGACTTAGCACCTCGGTTGTCCAAGGAGCTGTTTCCGACTACAAGCTACGATGACTCGGAAAGTGCCCTTCACCAGCTAAAAGAAGACTTGCCCCCTGATGTCATACTAGGATCAGCGCCAAACTTCGAGCTCAAGAAGATGATATCTTCTGCGCTCAGATGGCCGTGTAAATTTTGGCGGAGCTTGCTCCTTTCCTCCGTTGGGCGCTGAGCTCCTTTGAATGCGGAAAGAGCGTCAAGCGAAAGGGATTGCTGCTCTTGCCGCCGAAGCCACGACCCTGTTGATCAGTGTCAGAATCTGTCTCGAGTGTCTGGCTCTACCTACGTTACTGTAGTAGGTAGTACGTGAGTCCCAGATTCAGGACTGGGAGGCAACAAAACGTCTCCCTGATTCGGGCTGGTGAGCAGGACGGGCAGGTTTGGATCCAGACCCGCGCGCGTAACTGCCTGCAAATGACATATTTGCGCGGTCTGCGGCCGCGAGTATTATACATCCTGCGCGGCCGCGGCGCCGCGGCGCTTGGCAAACCTGCAGGGTTTGGAGGTTTGCAAGACATTCAAAAAGCCTGAGCTGACAGTGATCAGCATTGGCAAAGCGCAGCAAGAAAGCAGGCTGCGCAAGAGGAAGGCAAGACTCAAGAGGCTAGAGCCGTAGGGAAGACGAGTGTCAGTGAGCAGGGGTCAGGGTTCAAGAATACACACCGTATCTGCCGTAGCCGCTGCGGGTCGTGGGTGTTTTGCGTAGGTACATAGTGGCTGGAATTCGGACGGTAGTTGTCTTGAATCCTTTTGATCCGTCAACATGCAAGGAAGCATCCTCTTCCCTGCCGCAGCAACCCCGTCCAATGAAAATCAGCAGTTTCCGGGTTCCTTCATGCTGCCTGATGACGGAGCGAATGTTGGAAACCCTGGAAGTATGAAAACCCCAGGTGGGAGTGATGCATGGGGAGCGGGGAGTTTATTTGGTCGGCAAACACCTGGAAGGGGTGGGTTTGGGGCAGAGGCAACGCCAGCAGGTGAGGAACAAATTTTCTCTCCTCCTAAAAGATCTGAGTCCCTACCTGAGTTGGTAATGGTCATCCACTCTTTTCAATTCTTGCTTGACTGCAAGATAGAAAGAGCGATTCCAGTGCTGAAGTTTATTTGGAGTAGTATAATATCTGTGTCTCCTTTTTTACACACTATATCTTGCCACCTGAGTGACGGCTCCGCACTAAAAACAGCTGACTTCGGCCTCCTCATAGGGTCTCAAAAGTCTGCAATGTTTGTTCGGTGAAGCTGATCGTGCAATGTGAGCCACGACTTCAGTCTTGAGTCCAGATTTCGTACTCCTGGTAGAAATTGCCTCGCCTGGTTCAAAAGTGACTTCAATGCTGCTGCCCACAATCATACAGCAACTCAGAAATTTGCCCCTTGGCTCCCTTTGGGTGCGGTTGCAACTGCATTGCAATCTCCCTGTTTTTGCCAGCGCAGCAACACTTGCATCCTGTTTGACTGAGATCAATAGGCTTCTAACCAAGGCAGCTCCTTTTGTGCTGATGCTTTGTACGGAGTCGCTATCTGCTTGAGGCCAACGGAACCGTTGATCTGACAGCGCCGAAAGCCATTTCAATGCAGAATCTTATACCAACTACTGCAAAATCAGTTACAAACAACAATCAAGCTGGACGTATTGTGTTTCTTCACGCAGCCGCGAAAGGATCAACTCCCTACGCAAACCCCCGAAGCGCGGGCCGCACCCCCTCTCGCCCTATCTCCCTCCTCCTACATGACGTTGCAACCCCCAGTGCTCAGCCTCGGGGGGAGTACCACTCCAGTACCACACCAGGGGGGGGAAGCTCCAACCTATGGAGCAGATCCAATTCTGGTGCTGCCCCGCCCCCCCCACCCCCCCATCGAGACCCTCGGCGACTTCATTGACCGCACCCCTGAAGCAGCCACTCCCCCCCCTCAGCAAGCATTCAGCCCGGGAGTGTATGGTTCACCCCCCGGCGGGGGGATGTATGGATCCCCCCCCACGATGGGGGGTTTCGCGCCGCAGGGGGGGTTCGCTCAGCAAGCGTCGGGCCTTTGGAGTGCCTCTGGGAACCAGAGCTGGCCCCCTGCGCCGCCTCAGGATCAGTGGCAACACCCGCCGCAGTCTTCTGGGGGGGTCCCTGCGGCAGCAAACCAGACCCCTTGGAGGATGTTAAGCTTTGGCGGGGGTGCAGCGAGCCCTGAGAGGTCCCCCATGGCAGATAGTCCGGTGTCGGGGGTCGTGCAGTCGGGGGCCCTGCTAACGGTGCCGCAGTCGAGACCGATGGAAGGGATGCCACAGGCGGGGCGCTCGTCAGAGGACGACCGATGGGTCACCGTGTATGGGTGAGATCCCCGTTATGAAGCTTCCTCATGGTTTTGAGGGTGAACATGTTTGGGGAACGTTCGCTACACCAAGTACGCATGAAGTTGTACGACACAAAGATTCCAATGCTCATCAACCTGTAGATCAGGATTCACATCAACCTGTAGACTGGTTAGAGAGCTGCTAACTTGTATTATGAAGTCCGTTGATGGCCGCCAGCAATTCGATAAAGTCAGGTAATCTCGCTGTGGTATAGCACCATCGTGTCGTCTGTTGGTATATCAACAAGCAGAAGTCCACGTTAGGATTAATCAACTATCATGCAGGTTTGGACCGGATGACACCAATCTGGTGCTGCGCGAGTTCGAACGTTGCGGGCCAGTCGTGGAGCATGTGTTTGGCCCTCGGGGCTCAAATTGGATGCACCTTCAGTACCAGGTGCGTCTTAGCTCGGACTTCATGTTTTGAAACTCTGACCTAGCCTTGAATCCAACGGCCCGTCATCTGCGGCTTCTTCAGGTCACAAAAGGGTCCGCTTGGAAACCACTTTCCCGTAGCCTCCTAGACTGTTCCGGTTGACTGTTTTGCATGCCGTTGTGTTGCTCGTACTGTGTTGTTCTTCCAAGCTTCTGCCGATGCAATGCCTAGAAATTCGTCCTTGTAAGTACTTTGCATCTGGTCAGAGTTGCAAGGCTGACATGAGAAAGTACAGGCTGCGGTTTCTGGGATGTTTGGTCTAAAGCTTACACTTCTGCTTTCCCCGTTCCTCGTTAGGAACTTATGGTCCTTGTTTGTTACCCCTGTCCATTTTTCTCCTCGCAGAACATGTACGATGCGAGAAAAGCTCTTGCCAAAAATAGCGCCCAGCTGACCGGCTCACTGATCATCGGTGTGAAGCCGTTAGACCCTCAGCTTCGAGCTAGCATAACCCGAAAAGCGGAAGATAGTCAAACAGGGCAACAGACCGGTGTTGCCTCACCCCTCAGCAAAACCGTCTTTGGGCCCGGTCCTAAGACACCTGCCCCCGCTTATAGGCCTTACCATTTGGAAACGGTCGATGGGGCAAAACCAACCGGCATCGCGCAGCCGAGCAAGTCTACGATGACAAAGGTCTTAGATTTCCTCTTCAGTGCTTGACCGATTGATCAAGTTAAGCTGATTGATTGCTTCACAAAGCTAGCTTCAACACGTCAAGTTTCTCTAGAGTGTGCCAAGTTGGATCTACATGAAAAGCTTTGGACCTGCATGCAGTTATCTGGCACCGTTTGGCGCGGGATTGTGGTACAGACATATGGACTGAACTGCGAATATGCTTAGCTGCTCCAGCGCGCTTCGTAAAAAGTCGAGTGACTGCCTGGCCCGGTCATGAATCGAGTACGAAAATGGTATGCCGGATTGCCATAGCCTGGGCCGGCCCGCGCGCACCTTGGGTCATTGTAGCAATTATTCGGAAGTCCCGAGCATATTGCTTGGGTTGCATTTAGGAGAGATTAATGACCCCATGCGCATGTGCTCAATACGTGCGTGGCACGTTCTTCTTTGTGTTGCATGGTGCCAACATATGCGCTAACACCGCGCGCGCCCTCAGCGGCTCCATGGCCGATCGACTCATGGACATATGTATGTTCAGCCCAAGAATCAAGCTTTAACTGCACTGCAGTGCTGTACATGTTCAATGGCTCAGAATCAGACTTGGACACAAAATGAGCCCAGTTGATCCCAGCTAGCCTCAAAGGTGTAACCGTTGTGTGCCGAATCGTTGTCGATATACCCATCATTAGTAACAATACGTGAAAGTAGAGACGGCCTACACAAAGTCTTCAGAACCTCATGCGCCAGACTTCTACTTGGCGGCTGCTTGCAGAAAGCTCTACCTGCTGCGCCAAAAGTGATTCACAAAAGATTCTGGAATATTCTGACCGACAATCAGTGCACCAGCAAATTGCCCAGTGTTACCGTTCTTCCGGAGCTGCTTTATGCCTGCCCGCTTCTCGTTCCCCCGGTTGTGGCCCCCCTGTCCGGTCCATTTCCAACATGTTCCTTGCGCGGTCCAACTCCTGAGCATCTGAGATATCTTTCCGTGAAGCCTGCAGACAAAAGCTGTACCTCAGCAAGACAAGAACCAGCAAACGAAAGAAGGGCGAAGGGCGAAAGGGCTCACGTCGGAACATTCTTCTGTTGATGAGAATGACGCAGAACTCTGTGCAGATTACGAATTGCGGCAGATCAGAAGCTAGCCAATGCTGGATGGGCGAAACCCATCCGTTCTGTATATGCAAGTCCCATGCGCGACCGGTACTGTGGGCGGCAGGATAAGAAGAAACCAATCCAAGATGACCTAGGTATTGATCAGGTCACTACGTTGTTACGTTATCATTTTCAGGGTTTTCGGAGTTGGTAACTCGCGCAACGCCTCAAGTCCGTGCCGTCCCCATAGCTTGCAAGAACTTCTTGCAAGACCGTGTCTCCGAAACCACGTCGGTTAATACTGGACGCAGTCAAAGGACACCCTCCTCGGAGCTTCAAAGACGCTTACCTTGTTTCGTTGTAGTAAGAAGCCGCCTAAAACGGCCACTCCAACAATCGCAAAAGCTGCGACGAGACTCTGAGCGAGGCTAAGACCACCGCGGGCGTGGCTCGCAGCGGGAGGGCTTAGCGGAACGGAAACGGAAGCGGAAGAAGGGGAACGGGAGGCCTGCGGACACGTGGCAGAGTGTCAGACACTTTGAAACGCTCAATGTTGTCGCCCTCTGAAACGCAAAGGAGACACTGTTTGCTCGCTCAACCTAGAAGGAGCGACGTTTCCGTTCCCGCGGAAGTACTCAAGCTTGCGTTCTTGCCATAACGTACCTCCACAAGAAAAAGCAGGATGGTATGTTGCGAGCCTCATGCACTCAATTACACCGTGCGGGATGTTCAAGTTCCAGCCTAGCACGAAAGAGCTGACGCACTGAACAACCAGGAAACAGCCGTAGCACAAAGGTGCTGGGTGAGTATAAGCAGGAGCGTTCGCACGTACCTCTCCGACTGCGCTTGGCGGTGACGGGCCCGGTCTGTCCGCGGCTATCACGGCTGGCTTCTTCGAAAGTTTGCGCTGCAGCCCACGACGAGAAGCGTCCTGCGCCTGAAACGGAATGAGCGTCTGGATCCGGAAAGCAAGTTCCAAGGAAGAGGAAATTCGAACCATTTGCGAAACACTCCTGCTCGAGATAGTTCTTCTTCGCTCGTGGTAATCGACCCTTCTGCTTGTGTCGCCAGGAATACTTGACGTAACTGCCAAAAAATGTAGCACGATCTTTGTAAACTCGGTTGTGATACAAAGGATCAGGCTCGTTGCGAACGTCTATAGAGGTTCAACATCTTGTTGCAAAAATCGTCCTCGAGTATAGAGTCTCCTCTCTCAAAATTCGGTGTGTTCCTTTGGGCCGTCAAAGAGGACATATCGAGCGAAGGTGTGGCTGAACAACCGCGAGCGCTAAATTGCCAACTCGCCCTGCCAGGTTTAAGCGGATCGAAGACATTCTTAAGTCCAATCTTTGTTCTGCCCCTTTGAAGCAGGTCGCCATCCAGAAGATTTCGAGACAATCAGAGGCGTTTTCGAAACGGTCAGCCGACTAGAAAGCTTCGACCGGTATATCCCATGCTGCACGGCTTGCTGATTCCCCGAAGAAGACTGTCGTCCACCAAGCACGTCCCGGAAGCATTTAGACAGCGGCCCGAGCAAACATAAATCTTGTGACGGACTGTGTCAATCGTGAGCAGACAGCTTTGAGTGTGAGAACGGGAACGAATGCAACGAGTTCGGAGCCCGTCGAAAAGCAGGACGCTGGTTCACTGTCACACGAGTATGCGCATCTTCCATTCTTTCGTACGGCCCACAGATCCTGGTTGTTCAACACTTTGCCGAACCAAAGGCTGGTTGGACAGGTGCGGGGATGATGAATCAGATTCACGCGAGGCTCACCACTAGCTGCCTGTACTTGTCTCGCGAGAAGGGGCCCCACACTCCAAGCGCCGGCTCGACACCGTGTTGCCGCTGCAGACCAAGTCATAACGTCAATCAATTTGCAGTGAAGTTACTGTTTTCACAGAAGTATCCATGAAACGTGTTGACTGCCGCAGAGTGTTTACGACGTTTGGCAGTGTGAGCGAGTGTACGCTGAGCTTAGGTAGACCACAGGCCAATTCACTTTCGTTGATTGCAGAGGATAAATCTTCCGCTGCATCTTCGACCGAAGCTGGCCCAGCAGCTAACTGTTTCATGTGCCGCAGCTTCACCCTCTGCTTAGAGAGCTGTAGATGATTCAAGCTCAAAACGAGATTCTATATTGTCCCGACTTTTTCTTCTCCATCTTGGCCACTTGGACTCGGGTAAAAACAGAGTGTGATTGAGCAACAGGTACAATCAGCGGAAGCCCGGCGCGACGCAGGTCCACAGACTCTCACTATACCATTAAACAAGCTCCTTCCTTGAGCATGCTAACCCACAACGTCTGTCCCTCACCTGCCAGTTGCTAAGGGCCTTCTGTGTCTCGGGTCCAAAGTAACCAGTGGCCCCGTGCTCTGAACGGAAGTCACCTGTGGTCATGAGATACCCCTGAAGGGCGCGCACCTCCTCTCCAAAGTCCCCTACGCCGTACGCTTCTGCTGAGGTGTCATAATAGAACTCCCAGATGGTCTGCAACTCGGATTACACAAAGCTCAGGTCAAGTTTGATGATTGTCAATCAACAGACAGCACTTGCTTGAAGGCCATCTGAATCTGTGGATCAAGAGACCATGGTATGCTGTTTCCTGTTGGCGTGTGCTGCAAACTATTGGCTGGTTTAGATGGGGACATTCCGGTTCTGTTCTTTGTGGGGATTTCAAGAGCAACCAGCCACAATGTCTTGTACGAGTGTAAGGCACGGGGACTTGAACGAAGCAAGAAGCTCGACTCGTCACCCGACTTCGAAGCGGTAGTCCATGCACCTCTCCAAGCTTGATTCTCTAGATATCGCCTAAACCACGTATTAACTACAGTACTAGCTTGAACTCACCACTCCCTTCTGTCGAAGCTCGGCCAGGACAGCGCGCGGAAGCAGAGTTTCCCGGCTGTCCGTTTCGTCCGACGCCGCTGCTCTTGCCCGCCCATGCTGGGCCCTTCTCCTTCCTTCCCGCTCATGTCTCTGTCCTGATGGAACGGATGGAAACCCTCGATGGAAAGTAGGACCAGTTCTGCTGTAATCTGGACGGCTAGCCAATCCTGGCACATTCCTCCACCGGCTGTGTGAGGCCTCTGTGTTATAAGGATGGAAGCTGCGGCAGTGGAAGCACTTCTGAGCACGGAACAGCCTCGTAGAGCCAGTTTTCAATGACAGAATGGTTCTGAGAGTCTTGCCATTCCCCTGGCTGCCAAACAGACTGCCTTGCAGACTGCTATGCTGGTTGATTTGTTTCGTGGAAAGTGGGCCTACGGCTTGCGCTGTTCTGACAGCGAGTGCCTTTGCCATGTTCTCACCAGCTCAACAAAGGCGGCAGGATATCTTCAGGCTGGCCCAGGGTGACCTACAAGGATCTGCGCTCTTGCATCTTGAATGTGGGTCGCGGTTGTGATGCCTGGCAGCATTGTACCAAAGTGATGGTGTATTAAGGGCTCCGGAGATTGCTCCGTCAACTGGTAACATGCCAAAATGTGCGCTATTTCAGCCACTTCAAATGAAAACCAAGGTTTATGTCCAGGTAGGACAATGCTGCCAGAATGCAGCAAAGGCATCGAAAAAGAGAATCCTTTACAGCATCAAGCACCGGGTGCTTTGCCGCTCAGGCACCAGTTGATGGACCAGCCTCTCTTGAAGGACATCCCACAATGCTAAGATACTGTAGTCGGAGGAATGATGCGTCCTCTACATAAACCTGGAGATTTAGGCACAAGCTGCTTTCTGCCGAACTGAACTTTGAATCCGATGGACATGGAGAGAACTTGGACTCGACAGTGACACCTGCCAGGTCAGACAACACGAGCAGCTTGATTGGGTGCCAGTAAAATTCCAACTTCAATTCTTGAAGTGCTCGCAACTTTCAAGTTTCAGAGAAACTGAGACGAAGGGACTGGTGGCAGGTGGTGTACGGTGGGCAGCAACCTTGCGGCACTTGCTCCTTTCAGGACACTCATTCGCTGCCTTTCGATACCTCACACATGGGCGCCGCAATGCAGGCGGACGTCTTAGCAGCGCTTGGCGACGATGCCAAGTTCTTTGTGGAGAATGCAAACGGGCGGTTGCATTGCACCCTCACAAACATCGACCTGCTCCCAGATGCAGACAGTGTGACCGCGCATCTGCACAGCAAGCGCTTCAAGGCAGCCAAGGTGGAGGCGGGACTGAAGCAGTTTGGGCCGTACATTGTCACGAGCCCTGAGTATCCGTGAGAAACTCCAGCTGCTTTCTAAATGAGTCACTTGCTTTATAGCTTCAGAGCCTTTCGCCTTTGCAAGCATAGACGTATATGCGTTTGGTTCAAGAGTAGGTCTCGAAAGTTTTCTGCCACAAGGCTTTACAAGCTGATGAAATTCGGGACTATCTTACATTCACTCGCCGTGACAATCTGTGTCTGACTCACGCATCCAAGCGAGGCCCCTCCTTCCCAGATTTCATCCTGCGATGATGTTTTCCCGATCCACAACAAGCTGACAGCATAATTTGTTTGGGAAGGAAAGGAGAGACGACGATCTGCTGGGATCATGGCGCAATTGCAACCTGAGCAGCTCGATGGAGGGGTGGTGTGCGTTGTCGAGGCCACCAAAAGAAGCTGCTTTGCACTTAACAACAAAGGTTTGTAACAGAGGTTCTCGGAGGACCAGAGTGCCTGTGATCCTTGCTCTATAAGGTCCACCAGCCGACCTTGCAGACTGGGCCACATGCCTCACCTCCACAACAATATACTTGCGTGCAGGGACAAGCTGCAATGCACACTCACTGGCGTGCTGATCAACAAGAATGAGGACGCGGTCTGGAAGCACATAATGGGGAAGAAGTTCCAGCGGCGCCTCGGTGAGATTCCATTGCAAGCTGCCACCTGGCAGGCCGTCATGCTGCCACCTAGTGGCCTGGCATACCTCTTGATCTGCAAGGAGCTGGGATGGTGAATCGTCTCTGTGTGAGATCCATGAGCTTCAATTGATTGAAGAAATGGTCAGGTTCAAGGTGACACAGGCAAAAAAGAAACTTCGCGGAAGCCCCGCTCTTTTGAAAGTAAAGTGACGGTGTTCCAGCAAAACCAAAGCCTCTGCTGCGCCGTGCTTTGTTGCTGCGATCGACTTGACAGCTGCGATCGACTTCACAGCAACTTTTCAGAAAGACTCTGATGAGTGAGAATCATTCAGGACTGGCTCTTGTGTCTCCTCGGCTTGTCGCGGCTCCTCAAGAGCAGGGGATAAATCTCCTGCATTAATTCCGCATGGTCAACGTTTCAGCACCCCCCTACTATGATCCCCCAACTGCGCCGAATCCTCATGGTCACTCTTGTGGTCTTCGTTCTCACAACCTTGTTTGGATGCCCTATCGCCAACAGGAGGGCTCATGTATATAACAGCTCGCTTTGACATAGAGTCGCACATATGCAAAGGAACAGTCCCTCGGAAAGCTAGCCTTGAACAGCGGCTAACTTTTCCCCATACGACATGCAGGCGAAAAGGAGGCCGAGAAAGCGGCCAAGAAAGGCAACTCGAACCCCCCTGGTCCATCTAAACAAGAAGCCGCCAAAACCAACCCCCCTGAACCCTCTCCGATGGTTCCTGAGGCTAAGCCGGAAGCAAGTTCTAGCAGTGAAGAGGAGGACGACGATGAAGAAGGGGGGTTCTGGATACCCCCACCAGGGTCGCGGAGGGACGAGGACCGAGAGGAGGAGACAGCTGCAGGGGGGGAGGACGTGGTCATGGAAGAACCAGGTGAGCTCGACCCGTCTCTTCATACAACGTGTTTTTGTGAGATTTGAGATCCCATCGGAATTGAGTTTAGAAACCGGGACGCTGTTCGCTTGGGCATAACGGGTGTTGTTATCATAGAGAGATATGAAGAAGGTTCGGAAGGCGTGCATCCAGGAGTTCTACGTAAGGATTGATCAGCTGGCCCGCCAAATGTGAGTCCTTTTCACGATCACTCTGCAACATTTCAAGCAGTAGAGTCGCATACAGAGTGTGTACGTCTGGAGTGACAGGAAATGTCGACCAATATGGATGGCGCATACCGTTTTCCATACATGTTTTTGAGATCCCAGCTTCGAGCTGACTTTCCAATCTTCTGGTGTTGCCATTATCGGTCCTGAAGCTGACGCACTAGGGCGTTAAATCTTTCTTGCCTCAGTCTTTCGATCCATGTGGCCGGAGTGCTGAAGGTATTACTCGGTCCAGAAGGCGAAGCTTACTAAACCTTTGACATATGGTTTCTTTTCGAATACTTGGCTTTTGACAGTTACTACCGGAAGGTCTAAAAGGCTGAGAGGTTCAGCGCTTGCCGTTTAACTGGTGTAAGCAACCATAACGAAGCATGCGCTCGGTCAAGGCTTCCAATCCAAAAGGAAGGACTGCTGTGCCCAGCCTAAATCAGCGACGCCTAGCAGAAGCTTGCCCGCCTCTTACATAGAACGCCCGGAGTTCAGCTGCAATCTTTGACTCGGACGTCAGACAGTGTTACCTCAGCAACAGCCACCGACTGTGCCATACATACCAGAAGCTTCATCTCTATCCAAAGGCGCATTTGAGAGTCTGCTTTGATTACTCTTCTCTTGGTGAAAGCCTGATGTTTCTGCTCGAGGATTGGGTGAAACGCCAATGAGGCCCCAACGCCAGCGCTTTGATTTCGTGTCTTATTGACTGCAGACGACATTGGAGGAGCAAACGGCCATGCGTCGTCATTGAAGGAGGCAAACGGCGGCGGCAAACGAAAATCGAAGTCTTCGAAGGGCACCGCGTCCAGTAATGGGTGAGCAACAGAATGGTTTCTCGATCTGGATAAGGAAGCTCGAAGGTTTGACGTCCCTCGGCAAGGGCTGAATGCCGACAAGGTGCGCTTTTTGGCGTTGACCAGAAAACAAGCTTGAAGAGTTTTGCTTGGGTCTCTGAAGACCTTGTGCTTGAATTCCACAAAACCTGATGCTGCAGCCCCTGGTCCACGAGTCTTTCTTTGATTGTCGGCAGCCGTTTACTTGTGGCTTGTTTTCCATGTTTTGGGATGCTCGGGCGTAAAGTTCTTTTGATTCAGTGCTCGACGCTTGCTTGGAACAGGGACAAACGGACGACCAGATCATTGGGGCCAGCAGAAAACGCACCACAGAAAAAGAAGCGGAGACCTCAGGGCTAGAATTAGCGATTGCGAACAAATTGTCAATCTAGGAGTCGGCGCCTGCAAAATGAAGCCGTTCGTCGATATAAGCAAACGAAGCTGTCGGGAACGCTCTGATTGACAAGCCATGCGCCCCTGATGACCGTTGAAGGTTTATAATGTGTTCAAGATCAGAAAGCTGCGGCAGCTCTTCCTGATGCGTGCTTTGCAGATAACACTTTCCTTAATTAAGGAACCCCTCAATAGCTCTGTTCGACAACGAATCAGCTTAAAACGTGATCTGCCCGCAGCCTGTTTGCTTTTGTGCAGTGTGCTCGAATTGGTACATTGGTTGTGCGTACGTCTGTTGGCAGATCCTAGCTATCAATCTCACCAGGCTTGGTACACTGATGAAGCTTCAGAAGTATCTTCTTCAACGAACTTGCGCGGAGGCTTGCGTGCTGTACAATGAGAGCCATGCCACATATATAAGAGATCAAGATCGTACGTGCATTTATGTGTTTAGGGCCGGTCAGGGATGCATGATATATCTAGGATGGTACATGAAGAGTATAACGCAATGAGCGCAATGCCTGCCATGTGTGGGACAAGTCATGCTATCCCGTGTAAGGCCTCACTATCACTGATTGCAAACGTCCATGTTTAGAGGCTGGCGGATCGTTTAGTAGATCCAATACCCTAGAGCAAGCAATGTAAATCTCCGGGTCTAGCTGCCAAGATTTGGCTGATCAATCTGTTGCCTGAGTACGCTTCAAACCTCCATCACGTAGTGCTTAGTACATCCAGCCTGCCCGGAAGCACAGTGCTGATATCACCACTTATTGTGACCCACCATCTGACTTGAGCGAACTGATTATATCAAGCCTGATGTTAAGGTACTGGCTTGTATAGTTGCGTGTTGTTCCTATCCTTTTGGAGCGTCATACGATTTATGGCATTTAGCACATTGGAGGAGCCACCATTTAAATGTGTCTGTTGATAAAACTTCTAACTCCATGATGTTGGATGAAAGCATGCAATCTAGGCCTCTACTTTCTCCTTTGCTTCTTTTAGTAGCTGTTGTCGAAGCTTTGCAGACTCTCGTTTTAATCTTTCGTCTGCCGCCTGCATTTGACAGGAAAATGTTGCTTAGCTCAATTTTGAGGCTGGCTGGCAGTGAGACCACAGCTACGATCGGTCCTTATCCAGGATGACAATTACAAAAGAACATAAGGCTGGCTTCATACTGTCTGGCTCATCACACCGTGGAACTTGCGAGGTGTCAGTGCGAACTCTGATGCCCAACGAAACATCACAAGACAGCACCAGACAACACGTTGAGAAAAGAGTGTGGACTGTGAGCTTCCCCGTGAGATTCAAGGTCAAGGCTCAGGCCAGATTTGGGCAATGTCTTCGGCAAAAGTTTATGAATACAACGCATAGTATGAAGCAGTCCCGCTCTGTTTTCCCTGCAAAGCTGCTCACAGGACTTGGTTTCTGTACATATGCTGGGACGATGTTCAAAAGCGAATACTCTGGCGCCACTGCTCAAGTCACCAGCAAGCTGCGCCTGACTATGGACACAAAAAAGCACCCTGCAGTACATTTTGAGGGAGTCTGGCAGTGCATCAACTCTCTGCATTGTGTTGAAGGCGATAAACTACAAGGTCAGATTGGTGCCACCGGCGTACTTACCAGGGTGTCTCTCCGCTGCGACATCCAGTAGAACACGTTGTCCATGCGAGATACCCCAACGTATGCAACCACCGCAAGGCCAAAGAAGGTGATGAACCTCGCCATTGGTGATTGGGTGTCCCGTGCACGAGAACAAAGGGACGTATGGACACACAATCTAGGTCCTTTTGCCAAGTTCCGATCTAGGTCCCTGGTATACGGATCCTGATAGCTTGAACAATACTAATCAGCGCTAGAGCTCTGCAGGCGATGTGGGCCAGGAGAAATTCCTGAACAGATCGAAGATCGAGAGAATGCGCAGTGCATTGTGACTCAGTCTACAGTCTCAAGGGACCCCGACGACGAGTAGAGGCTCCACCATCCTCGGGGACCCCTGTATAGAAACTGTACCCTACTCAGCAAAGTCCACTGCAGCCTGAGCAGGAGCCTAGAAATCTGGATGAGTAGGAGATTGCCCTGTCCTAGCGACACCTGGCACGGCAAGCTGAGTGACGTGGCGCTGGTCGCCCAAGGGATCGGTCAAAGCTTCATGACACATCGATGTACGATCCATCCCCTTCAGCAAAAAGCTGCAGAATTCTCCGCGACTGCCTCCACAGGGCAATGGACTTGAAAGTCCGCATGGCAACGGAAGCATGTGTCCACCGAGGCCTCTAGAGGGATCGAGGCCGATTACTATGTGTTCGTTCTGAGCACAACCGAGTGGACAAATCCAGCTCATGTCTTACTTCGCGTCCGCTCGAAACGCTTCTTGTGCTGAATTAGACATCGTCCAACCTTGCAACCTACGCCGCGCATGCCGCTTTGAACAGGATTGCTTCAAAATTTGATCAAGCATTATAGATTTCATGCAAAGATAATACCCAATGATCACGTGATTCAGCACAGATACTATTGACATGCCCGCATCTTGGATATCAGACCTCACGCTTCATGACAAATGCATGCCAACCTGCCTCAAAGATGCATGGTTGGCAGGTGTCCGTGTACATGTAGGCCGCAAAATGGTATATGGGTGTGGGGCAGCGTTAAACTCCCAGGAATTCCCCAAATTGGAAAGTGGACGATTTTGAACTACCTGTTCCTTGACAGAGGGCTGCCATACAGTGAACTCTACAATGAGGGCACAAAGAAGTCAACATGCCGAGAAGAATGGGGACTGGCACATCGAGCTTGCTAGAGGTCTTAATAAGCTTTAAGGATAAACTCCAAATAACGAGAGCATCTAAGTGTCAAGAGTCCACTTTCTATTCTCCAGGTCAAGCTCTCACAGTTCTCAAAAGGCAGGGCAAGGGCCGCTCGAATGTGTGGTCATCCTGGCCCCTTCTTGCCTGCACAATCAGACAGGCATAAGCACACCGTAAATTAATCAACCCGGCAGAACAATCAATTGGGAGTCATTGGACCACAAATTGACCGACTCGGCTGATCAAGATCGTCGATGCTGCGTATACAACAACCTTGATACGTTCGTCAACGTGATGTGACAACCAGGCTGTCGGCACAAGTCCAGATGCGCAGATACACAATGATAAATGGATATGCGCAATATGTATAGACATGCAGCACGCAAGGAACGGCATACCGTATCAGAATAAATTTCATACAAAAAAATATACAGATCACAGCAGGGAGCGAAGAGCCACACTTTTTGAAAGTGGAGCGCGCATTTGACAGAAGAACCTTGTCCTATAAGGCCGGCTCAGATTTGTCTGGGACCATAGGGGAGTCAATTTTGGTGCAAGAAAGCTTTCACGGCGAACGGGGTTTTGACGCCCGGGCTAGCTTTACGCGTTTCCTTCGAGATAAACAGGCCTAACGGTTCAAGCAAGTGCGCATGGTCTGCTCACCTTTTCCCCCTCTACTCCGCTTGACGGCACCCCTTTCCGGTGCGTCCCCCCTCCCGGCAGCCTTCACTTTTCGTTGTCGAATTGCAGCAGGCTGCACTCTCTGTGCTTCGTTTTCGACGGCCTCCGCACCATTTCTTGATTCTCCGTTCTCGTGCGCCAGACTGGTGCTCGGTTGGTCGCCCACTTCGACCCCGCCTTTCCCAACGGCCGCCTCTTTTCTACTCCTCCCTGCAAACATCATGAGGGCCGCTTCAACTCCTTGTGGCAATTCATTTGGAGCCGCCAACATGTCGAAGATTTTGAGTCGAAGAGGAGGATGTCATGTTGGGCGACCCCCAATATCTCACTTTCACCGGTTCAGCCAGTATTTTCCGTCCAGATGTTTGATAGAAATAACACCCTACTCTCTTGCATATGCCATATTGAACCGCGTTACTCAGGACGTCACAACGCACCTGTTTCGACGTCAGAACCGACTCTAGACCAAGTTGACTATTTCGAGTCAAGGATTGATACCAAACGCACCCGTGTCGTGACGCAACATCAAGAGGAGTACTTCCAGGACGTCTCCTGACCTCTAGTATCGCCGACAACCAGACACGTCAGCAGATTTCAAATTCCACGTTGTCCTTCCACCCCAATCGTCTTGCTCGCGTCTAGAATCAGAGATTGCAAAATCAGCCACGCCTTCGTGTCTACTATCCTTCTAGGGTTCTTGCTTGTATCTAAGCGATTGCGGGGCATTTGGGGAGCTGATAGGTATTGGAACCTTTTTGCGCTATTCGTTCAATCCGATGGGCCTAGGCGCTCAAAGCTGCTCTCATCAGACAAAGTACGCAATGTGTTTTTCAGTTCAATCTTTCAATAAAAAATATTTACTTTCGTAGGGTCAAGCGCGTTCATTCCATGACGCAGCAAACGGAACCATCTGCTTCAGAAACCACTCCTCCTCTTGCTGATTTGTCTTTCTTCACAAGCAGAACAACAGTTCCCCACCTTTCGCCCCGCCGACCACGAGACACGTCAGCCGCGCTTTCGTGTCCACTTCGTACAGCGGCGCGGGCGCAGTTCGCCCGTCCTGGTCCCGCCGAATCAGTCGCGTGTCCCACACTTTGATGAACCCGTCAGAGGACGCCGTAGCCACGTGGGTCGGCAGGGTTTTGGCGGGGCCAGCGCCAGTCGCGCCCGGGAGGGCGACGCCGCGTATTCTGTGGATGGAATAAAAGTGGAGAGTGCGTTTTGACCAGGACAAGGAGCGTCTGACTCAGAGTCCGCAGGTCTACGTATAGGTTGCAATCTCGTTAAATTCGCCCTCTACACGATGACTCGCCCAAGTCGAAGCGTCGTTATTTTATATGAGAAGAAGCATTTCAGCGGAAAGCTGGGATGCGACAACCCTGCAGAATCTTGTCTCGTAGGAGTTTGATATCTGAACCTGGTATGACTTCCTTTTGTCCCTCCGTGCGAGGTAAGTGGAACAGTGGAGGAGGAAGCGGGACAAGAAAACTTCGAGAACAGAGAGGGTTCGTGAAGTTGGAACCACAATATGGGTCACAAGATTCTCGGAATACTTAAAGGCAGATTCAGAGACCGCCGCGCAGCAGGCGCACCTTTTTGAATGCGCATTTGGGACGTGCAGAGCGCTCTTCCCGCTGCTGAGGTCCCAGGCCTGCAAGTGGCCTTCCTCGCACCCCGTCACCATCACGTCATCCTGCACACGTCATCACATGATGTCATCCAACACGTACCGGAACGTCTTAGGCCAGCGGTCCGAACTTCCAATCAATTATGTCATCGACCAGAGAATTGATTTTCAGATCGGCAGACACGATGGCAATTTTCTCTGTTGGTTAAGATGCAGCCTTTATGTCAGCTAGATACCGGGCGGTATGCCTTCCCGTCCCTACTGCAAATGAAGCCGTCAATAATCTCGGAAGCCATATTTGAAAAGCATTTGCGCCACAACAAGCCTTTGGTTCGATAGAGTTGAAAGTTGCGAACCCGAGGAAAGGATTCGAGGCACGAGGGTCTGGAACTAGGGCTCTGTATAGAATGGTTAACCCGCTTCCAAGTGTTCCAATCAAGCATCCTCGGGCGCAGTCCGTCCCGTGAAGTTGGCAACGTAATTCTGAAAAAGGAAGTTGTGACATGCTTTTTTACCTGATCTTGCGCCCAGCTCAGGACCTTTGCGCTACCCCCCAGCCCTAGTTTCTCCTTGCCTTCCTGAAGAGGAAAACGGTCTTCGAATGTTTGCTTCCAACTCCATTTGTATCACGGACATTCAATCACTTTCAGGAGTAGCACGACCTCGAGATGCTTTGCTGAGTCCTGCGCCCGTTATCTTGTCGAATCCGAGATCGTGGCTTCGAATTGTAAGGCGTTTGACTTTGTCATCGAAGAAAAAGAAGGTCAAGAAGCGCATAGACCCCTGGCATGCGCGTCTCAAACCACAAGAATGAGAAAGCTTCGCGTATTAGTCCCTCTTAGCAGACCTGATGAACTATTGCAACAGTGTCAGCCGCCGTGCGAACCTGGTGCCTCTCCGAAAGCGAGGGAAACCCCAGCACAAGCGGCCCGTCCAGAATTGGACACTAATCACCAAGACCCTTACCTCAATAGTGATGGGCATTTCTCAGCTCCCGCAAGTCGTCAAGGATTCAAATTAACCCAATCGGTTGAGCGAGGCAGTTTTCAACTCCATCATTTGCAAACATAGCGGCCCTAAGATTGACCAGGGTCCCAAAAACTTATTACTGCTGGAGCGCCGGTCGCAGGCTCCTCTACTTTATCGTCCTAATGGGACGCTTCGACTGGGTTCAAAACGGGATATGCAATCTAAGCTGGGGCAATCCAGTCCCAAAAAGTAAGTCCGCAGATCACTGAATCCTTAAATTCCGCACCTGTGCATCGTGGACGATGACGTCATTTCCGACTGCCGTGCAATAGCTGTTTCCCGCTTGGGGCGAGAAAGCGACCAGCAGCGCCTCCCCTCCAGTCTTTGTTGTATAGGAGCAGCGCCCCTTGACCAGGTCCCACATCTTGAGGTGCGTATCTCGGGAGACAGACAGCGCGAGCTTGCCGGAGGGATGAAGGGTCAAGTCGTTGACTGAGGATCTGTTTCGAGAAGAAGAGAAGAGTCGGTTCTCTCGCTCTTTGCAAATCGTGGGCCACATGCAGAACATACAATCAAAGGTGCAAAACTGCCAGGATGGAAAATGGAGAATGGTTGACTAGAGACTTGAAAAAGGAGGTCGAGTTGAATGAAAAGGTGAGTACTCTACAGCTGGCCTTCTGCTGTCACTTGAAGAACAACCTCACTGTTGAATAATCTGATCAGTGTAGTCTCCACCATCACTTCCACGCACTTGGAAGCAATCCGGGCCCTCGCCGGCTCCTTCTGCCTTGAAGAAGGCGACCGACTCAAAGACGGCCCAAAGCACGCAACCGCTTTGAGCCGTATGTCATCGAAGCGTGGACCAAACCACACCCATAACCGACGACTTCGATTAGCAGCAATTTCTAGCTCTTGAGGATGTAATCGAGGGCCTTGCAAGCCGGACAGTATCGAGGCTCTACGAACCCTGTCTAGAAAAGTGAAAGAATTGAATTCGCCACCACAATGAGCTCCTTTAAGCACCTCGCTGGAAGCAGTGTCTGGGGCTTAAAGCCATCACTTCTGCTTTGCTTCGAAATCAAGTACTCTACTCAAGCCCCTATGAAAGCCTTACTTGGCGTCCCCCAAACAATTGGTCAAAAGGTCATGACCACACAACAAGGTGTCGTCCTTGGAACAAGAGCCTCCTTGTGTCCACCAGAGAATCGACACAAGTCCTGACCACACGAGAGAATATCTTCTTGCGAAGGACAACTGATTGTGTCCCCCAGACAATCGACACAAGTCCTGACCACACGACAAAATCGTCTTATTTGAGATTACAAGACTCACTTGTGCCCCCCCAACCGCTTCAGGAACTGCCAATCGACCGTGTCCCACACGAGCACCGACCCATCCTCGCTGCCACTCAGGAGGTGCGTTGGCACGCCAAGCTGACCATAGAACTGAAGGCACGTCACGGCGCCTGCGCGAAAGGAAGGGCAGCCGCAATCGGAAAGGGTGAGCAGACAGATCGAGCGCCACACCAGAACTGTTGCTTTATTGACGAACATAGTGGAAGAAAGGGCACAGGGTGAAATGTGGCTCAGATTGACTGTAAGCTCAAGATGCCCTATACGTAGGATTGGCCCGCAATTGGCAATGTAAGAGAATGTCAAGAAGGACTTCAGTAACAGAGTTTGCAGCGCTGGCTAGTCAAAATGCATTCGGTCAAACCGACGTTTCTACCAAGACTCTCAGGATCGACATGAAGGTGCACACCTGTGGGGTCTCACAACAAAAGCCTTACAATCTTTCAGAGCAATCGAAGAGGTGCAGTCCAAAACAATGACCACCTGGAGACTTACCTTGGTGCTCGGTCAGAGAGCCCATGTCTTTGCTGGCCTTGATATCGTATATTCTGTAAAGAAGCAACCACCGCCAATCAAGTAAGCAGATTCGTCCGCAGACATTTTAATGCTTCGAACAAGCCCAGCGTTTCCAAATGACACACAAGAGGTTTGCTCTTATATGTCTCCTGGACAGTGAATGCACACCACCCCGCACATCAATGATGATATCCAGAATCAGAATTCAAAGAGTAGATAGAGTCAAGCATCACCTGATGATGTCATCGCTTCCCCCGGACACAAGATAACTCCCTGACGCAGCCAGACTCTTGATGGGGCCCAAATGCGCCGCATACGTGAATGCTGCGGACAGCGGCCGAGGCTCCGCCGCTGGTGCATCGTCCGGCAGCTCGTCTTTAAGCGCGGTCGGCGCGAGGTGGTAGCCGAAGAGGAAGCGCTCGTAAGAGCCCGCCACTAGCTTCATGGCGGCAATCAGCTGGAGCTCATTGATCTCTGAGCAGACATGCTTTGGAAATGCCACCCAGGCTTTTCAATGTTTGTAAATTGCAATAAAAACTTCATGAATTCAACCTTGAAAGAGGACGGTAATGGTTAAGGCTCTGTGAGAATGATTTTACTGCCGGCTATGTGCCGGTCTTGGACAACCGGGATGTTGAAGGTACCCGGATCAAAGGTGTCTCTTGCAAGTTCAATCGGGCCTACCAAATGAAGTTCAGACTTATCTGGACGGCCGGGATCGCCCCGGACGGATCGTACGGTGGAAATGCGTTAACGCTCGTGCCGGATTTGGCAGTGACGGTAAATTCTGTTGCATGTACCGTAGAGGACGCCACGTCACCACACCCACGACGATTTCCGGACATTTTCGATCACCCGCGCGTCGAAAGGGTCGGGACTTAAGGCTAACCGACCGGGCACCACCGAGCGAGGTCGGTGCTCAGGGACTTAGGGAGACTGTGTTGAGTCCAAAAGGCAACTTCGAGGGCCCGGTAAAATCGGACCGGGTAGCAGGAGGTAGGTAGGAGGCGCACGGGGCTTAGGGAGGTCCGCCCCCCTTATAGTAGGCCAAGGAAGGGTGGTAACCATGGAGTCTCGGCCTAGTCTTCAGCATTTCAGCAGCGCGCTAGGCCAGATAGAGCGGCGTATTGCAGAGAGCATCGCGTCCGGTGAGATTAGGGTTGACATTAAGAGTTGCCAGGAGCGCATTGCTGTCAGGTGCCTCACGTGCTTGCATCAGCTGTGGGTGAAGAGCGGCAAGGTGGTTCAATGCAGGGGTGCTGATGCTAAAGTTTCGCAAAGGTGATTGTGGCGCTCTGATGGGGTACTTGATCAGCGCTGAGGTTCCAAAGAGCAAGCAGCAGAAACAGATTGTGTGCCTACATTGCGTGCACAAACTACTTGGCGTGGTGACGGAGAGCACTGATGGGTTGTCGATCATGTTAAGCAGCAGGAAGGATGGCGGACAGGACACGGCCGTCTTGCGGCGTGAGACTCGAAGAAGTCCTTGGAGCCAGACCCTCGAGCTCACCGACGATGTGCTAAGCTTCCTCTGTCAGCAAAATGTGAGCACAATGCCAGGGCAGAAGCCAGTCGCCACGGCGGCGTCTCAGATCGGCAAGAGAGGCATGGCGAAAGGGGTGCCGCCAAGGGCGAGAGGCGCTGCGGAAGAAACGAGCACCGAGGTGAGCCAGCTTGAAAACACTTTTTTCTTGACCATCATCACAACAAAATGTGTGCTGCAATTCCGCTTTGCCCAGCTCGTTTAAAATGCCATCGCTGCTACATCGCACGAGCAAATTTTCGTCATCGCCATTCCAGAGAGTTCACGGTTCTGCTGAAGTTGCTCTACAATGATTCTGAATTGTGTGGCCACAAGGTGTGTCAATTGTTTGAAACCCGAGACACCAATTCGAAGGGCTCCATAGTCTTGACGCTCCCTCACAACGGCAAAGAAGTCCCTCTAAAAGACGCGCTCCCTCGTTGCATTATAGGGGGCGGCGCTGGGCATCAAGGACCAGGCGGTGCGCTATCTCGGGATAATGACGTCTCCCGACGAATCCGTTCGCGTCTATCTGCCAACCGAGTCGGCATCCCCTCCGCTTAGGCTCTACATGAGTGCTTGGGATCACAACGGAGAGGGCCGACCAAAGAAGCTGGGGAAGCCGGACAAGACGCACGCGCTGCCGGAGATTGTTTGGTGGGACACGCTCGGCGAGCTCTGCTGCTCGTGCGACCGGGGGCGGCTGATGGAGGACGCGCCGTGCGTGCACAAGCTGGCAATGGCGGCCCTCAGCGAAAGCCAGGCCTTGACGGCGGATCTGCCTACCCACGAGTCGCTCGGCAGAGGAGCGAGGGTTGAGCGGGTTGGACACAACCAGCCTTGGGGCAAACTGGGCCGGCCACGCTGAGTCGTGCGATTTCGCTGGGGACGCTCACGAGCGATCGTGGCCGTCCGTACCGGTATTCCGGATCCCGACATTGAAATGCCCGATTTAACGATTGACGGGACAGGAAGAAGGTAAAGAGGAAGCAAGCTAGGGGCGCCGGGGAGGAGCTATTTTGAATTCAAATTTTTGGCGGTGATCTCCTGTGGTGCCCCCAGGCTGCGAAAGTATGCGTTGAAACTTGGTATACTGAGCGTCAACCGCCCGATCAGCATGCACACCAATTTCTAGCCGCTGGATACCTCATTTGCATGGGCGGCAACCTGGAGAAGACGCTCAGGTGCATGGCAGGGGGGAGCGACCTGCATCGTCAAATCTGCATGGTCCTCCGGCCACAAAAATCCGACGCGGCTGACATGCAGGCCATGTGTTCTTAACATTAGGATAAAGGTTTTCACCGCACCGTTTGCGCTGGTTTCAAGGGGCGAGCCTACTGTGGCCTGTGCAAGGTAAGTGAACATGCAGGATTTGACGTTGCAGGAGATCTTCTGTGGTTTTTGCATGCTTGTTTCGGGCTTGTTTCATGGCTGACTCATCAAACAAAGCACGATCTCGGGTAGGCACCTGCTCTATGTCACGTTTCTGGCTTGAAGCTAGCCAATTGCATTGCCCACGCAAGTCAAGGCCATGTGATTCCTCCTGGTTTGCAAGGCTGTTCTGCATGTTAAAACTTCCAGAAACCTCAGGCTTCTTGTCTTGCCTTGCCTTCTGGTAGCTTCCTGAGTCTTGCTGTTGCTGTGTCTGCTTTGCTGTCGTGCTTGCGATTTGCTTGCTTGAAAGAATCAGGCGCTGTGTTGAAAGTCGGGCTGTGGTTCAATGGCTCTTGCACCTGTGCCATTGCGTGCTTGCTTGGTGTTCTCTGCTTGCTTTGTCTTGGTAAAGGCTGCTTGTTTGAGTTACTGCTCTGGAAGTTTTTACTATGTTCTTAGTGCTTATATGCTTTCTCTCCCTTTGCAGGTACTATTTGCCTGTGCGCAATGGCTGGTGGGGAAAGGGAACGCAAGGGCAAGCGCAAAGAGTCCAGGTTTAGTGATCGCCCTCGTCCAAAGAAAACAAAAGCAGAGCTTGCAGCTTTGGCAGATAAACGTGCGGGTGTCTATCTCAAGGAGACTCCAGGCAGTGCTTTTGTCTTCTGCCCGGTTGACGGCAAGAAGTTGGAGGGGGCTTTGAAGAAGTGCCCTAGATGTCTGGTTCAATATGCAAAGGCAAACCTTACGCAGGGGGGGCCCAGCAAGTGGGCGTGTCTCTATGATGCTAGAGACATTGCTGCCTTCTGGAGGAGGAAAATTTTTTGGCGTCTGGCTGCAACCAATCACTCTGGGGTTTTGTGGAGCACGCAGCCGTTTGTCCCTTTGCCTGCCTTTGAAGCAGTCTTCTCGGATGATTGGAATGAGCTGGCTGTTAAGACAGCCACTGTCGAGACGCATGTCAAAATTCTGGAGACTACCAGGGCAGTGCAGGAGTTTTGTGGGTTTGGGACAGTCAATGAGAAAAGGGGTCATGGGGCATGCAAGCTTCTGGCTTCTGGGGAGGTTCTGGTTGTCGTCCCACCTGTAGAGGTCACGCATACTTACAGCAAGGCTGCCGGTGCAAGAGTCCATTTTGTTTACGGGTGGGTTCAGATGACCATCACGGGAAACATCAGCAAAGCTGAGGACATGGTGGAGCCTGCACAAGGTTGGCAGTTTGTGGAACGCTGGATAAGAGATCAAGTGTGGGATATGCTGACTGATCTTGAGATGGGGGTGTCAGAGGCAATGGTCGCAGCATCAGAAGCCATTCTCCTGTCAGAGTATGGGTCTCAAGAGGAGTGTGATGCGGCACGTGTTGAGAGAAGTATGGTGGTTGAGCATTATGTCATGCCAAGGCCAGCATCTGGGCCGCAAGTTGAGCGAAGGCGGAAGCAAGCAGCTGAGATGCATGCTGGTGGCCTGGATGATGGCTTCTTCTCATTGCCAGCGGCTGAAGAGGATCAGCCAGGTAAGCATTGTCTTGCATGTGCACTGTCCGCAAGTGGAAGCATGAGCATTTGGCAAGTAGAAACAGAAGCAGTCACAGCATTTTGTGATGGCGAGTGGAAGCAGGAGCATTTCTGTATGAACAAACACTGCAGTATGTTCGCAATATGACAGTTGAATAGTCAGAACAATGAGTATTGTCTTCTCTATTGAATCTTTTGGCTTACAGCATCTACTTAGATGTTCAATTTTCTGCTCTCCAATCAAACGCTAAACATCTATTCTATTGGTCTTGCAGAAGCCGCAATGCCTCTGCCCCTCGCCCTCCCGCCTCGGCCTCTCCCTCCTCTTGCCCCCCCCCTGGCTCCCCTCCCTCTCCCAGCCGTCGCAAACCCAGTCCTGTAACGATTACGACTGGTTAAGCCTAACCTCGTTCTCGACAGGATTTCGTTGACCTGCGGGTTAGCGAAACGGCGGTGGTTACGTCTTAACGACGCACTGCGTAGCTGTCTGTAAGACGGCGTAATATCCCGGATGGATCGGCTTCTGTGAGCCGATGTCACCGTCCAGGATAAGTTGTGTTCGGCTTCGCCGTTCGATGCAGCCAAGCTCATCTGTGCTCTGCACAGCTTGCGTGGCTGGTCTTGTCAAAGGTAGTGGACAAGAGAGAGCTATACGAATAGCCGCATAATCCACGTCGTATGTAGAGCTGTATGCTATT